TAAACTGAAGTTCTAAGACTAATCATAGGAAAGATCCAACAATATAAAATTTTTAATTTTAAGGATCCTGACCATCGTAAGGCTCCTAGAAATTCTAAATGGCGTTCAAGATCCTGAAAATTCCAACCTTCTAAGAATTCAAAAAGTTCAATAATTTTGAAGTTTCGAGACATTTCAAAGAACTTAATGATCCTATAAATTAGAAAGATTAGAGAAATTGTGCATAAACTAAAGTTCTACGTTTTTAAATATACGAAAGATCCAACAAAATCCTAAAAAAGTTAGAAGTTCTAAGGGTTTGCAAGATCCTGGAAATTCTAAAGTTCTAATAATTTTAAAGTGTCCAAAATGTCAAATGATTCTAAAGTCTCCAGATATTCTGAAGATTTTAACGAGAGTTAAATTGGAAAAATAAAAAAAAAATCCAACAAAATCCTAAAAATTGTAAGGATCCTGATGGTCCTAAAGATCCTAGAAATTGCAGGGGGTCTTCAAGATCCTGGAAATTCTAAATTTCTAAAAATTTTAAAATATCCAAAATGATTCTAAAGACACCAAACATTCTAAAAACCTTAAACATCCTATATATGTAAATATACTGAAGTTTTAAGATTCAAAACATAAGAAAAATGCAACGATATCTTAAAAATTTTAAAAGCTCTGAAAGCTCCTAGAAATTCTAAACGGCCTTCGATATCCCGAAAATTCTAAATTTCTAATAATTCTAAAGTGTCCAAAATGTTCAGTGATTTTAAAGATTCCAGACATTCTAAAGACCTTAAAAATACTATAAATTATAAAAATGAGAGAAAATAATAAATAATTATAAAGTGTCCGAAATATCCAATAATTCTGAACACTACTGATTTTGTTATTTGTAATTAGTTCCTTTTTTTAATAATAATAATAATAATAATAATTTATTTTCATGCTTCACTTCACATTACAAATACATGTAATAAGTTTGCAAACGTCAAAAATAAATACAGTTTTATACATAGTGAAAATAACTATCACAATTTCACACATTAAAATAACAAAACATTTTACATACTGAAATAGCTAAAAAATTCCTCAAAAGAGTAGAAGGCTCCATTGCACAGCAAATCTTTAGTAAAGAATTTAAATTTATTTAAGTCCAGATTTTTATACTTAGTAGGTAACACATTATAGAAGTGAACTGCATGGTATTTATGTGCCACCTGTGTCCTTGTTAATCTCGCGGCTTCCAAATAAATTTTATCTTTGTTCCTTGTATCATGGTGATGGATATCAGTGTGAGCATTGAACTCTTTGATGTGTTTTCTAATGTACAAAAGACATTGATAAATAAATAAACTAGGCAACGTCATGATTTTGAGTTTTTTAAATGCATCTCTGCAATCATCCCTGAATCTGAGACCACACATTATTCGAACTACACGTCTCTGGAGCGCAAACACTTCATGACGAATACTCGCGTGCCCCCAAAGTAACAAGCCATACAGCAAGTGCGATTGAAATAATGCAATGTAAGATGAACGTATAGTTCCCTCGTCCACTGAATTTACCAAATTGCGAATGATAAAAGTATTCTTACATAACTTATTACACAGTTGGGCACCATGTTGTTTCCATAACAGTTGACAGTCAAAGGTGACCCCGAGAAAATTGGTGAATTCGTATATTTTCATGTTCAGCAAGCTTGCATCAGGAACATGTTTGAGAGTAAACATAATTTGCACACACTTGCTTTGATTTATAGCCAGTCCATTGCTATGAAGCCAATCAAAGGCCAATCTCTGAGTTGAAATATTGTTCTGTACCACATCTTTGATGTCATTTCCTCTGTTGGTAATGGTCGTATCATCCGCGAATAGTACGGTCCCTTCGTTGTTCAAAGAAGCAGGCAAATCATTCACAAAAACTAGAAATAAGAATGGACCTAGGATAGACCCTTGAGGCACCCCACTATTTATTGGTAAAAAATCAGAATCAGAATTTTCAGTAGTGACTCGTTGGGAACGATTTTTAAGAAAAGATGTTATGATACTAATGGCTGAAGGATGGATATTATAAACATATAATTTTCGAATTAGCGTACTGTGATTAACACAGTCGAACGCCTTTGATAAGTCAAGGAAGCTAGCTAGCAAGTATTCGTCATTGTTATAAGCTTCTATGATGTTGTCCAATAAAAATAGCATGGCATCTAACGTGCTTTTTTCTTTTCTAAACCCAAATTGTTGCTTACATAGCAAATTGTGACGCTTGAAATGTTCTATCAATTGAAGAGCTAGTACTTTTTCAAATATTTTTGAAAATATGGGAACCAATGAAATGGGTCTGTAGTTATTTGGATCCGAAGCGTCCCCTTTTTTAAAAACAGGAATGACAACTGTCTTTTTTAAACATTCAGGAAATGCATTTTGTACTATGCACCTATTGATTAGTTTCGTTAGCGGATTAATTAAAATTTCTTTCACGCTCTTTATCAAGTCAGCACTCATACCATAAACGTCCCTAGCTCGACTGGATTTCATGTTATTAATGATGTCCCTAACGTGGCACGTAGATACCTCAGCAAAATGGAAATAGTCAACATTATTTCCATTAACATTTAAACAAAAATTAAGTGGATCATAGGATGCAGGCGGCAGCTTATTGATGAGCGCAACTGGGATGTTGACGAAAAAGTCATTTAGATCATTGGCAGCTAGATTTGAATTCAGTCTAGCTTTAGATGTTTTAGGTCTTTTTGAATTTATAACATCCCACATCGCCTTCATCTTATTGCCCGCCCTTTTAATGTAATCACAGTTAGCTTTTTGCTTCGCTATATGTAGTTCTTTGCGATATCTGTTCCTGTACATATTTCTATAAATCCTGCATTCATCACGCATGGTACATTTATAAAAACTATCTAGAAATGTTAAAGCATCTCTCATCTTAACTAAGTCTTTATTGAACCATCTGATTCTAGATTGTTTTGGATTCCCACTGCTGGGTTTGATTTTTGGAAAAGAGCTGTTGATGAAATGTTGGATGGTTTCAATAAAGATTCTGAAGTTATTCTCTATACCTATGTCATTACATTCGACAAAAGACCAATCAACTGATTCTAATTTCTTAAAAAATATGAATTTACCTTTATTAGAGATTGGTTGTACAAGTCGAATGTTCTTATTATGCAGCTGGTTGTTGGCACGTGTTATATTTTTTAAGGTAAAGACTATCCCAGTGTGGTCTGACATACAGGAAATGAATGGAGTTACGTCGTATATATCCAAATCTAAGTTGGTGAATACATTATCGATACATCTTTTATGACGCGTGGGAAAAGTAACAGTAGAATATAGCCCGAAACTTAACATTATATTACACAAATCAGACCCGTTTTTATCTAAAGGGGAGAAAGCAACATTAAAGTCTCCTCCAATAACTACATTAACATCCTTTGATCTAATTTGATTAACTATATCACAGAAAGTGCACAGGAATAGTTGGAAATCACTAGATGGACTTCTGTAGACTGATACAACCACCACATTCAGCGAAGGTACACTGATGGCTGACACTTCACACACTTTTTCTACAGAAAGCTTGTCTATGTCGGCTACCTTTTGGAAGTCAATATTGTTCCGCGTCAAAAGCATTGAACCACCATATCCTTTGGCTCTAGAGAAATGAGCACTCACTCTGTAGTTAGCAATGGCTAACTCGTCACTTTCATATGGTAAGAGCCAGTGTTCACTTAGGCCAATAATCCCGTAACTCTCGTTTCCATCATTTAGCATCACTTCTAATTCGTCAATTTTATTCCTGATCGACTGTGCATTGAAGAATAGTAGTCTTAAATTACTTTTTTTCGACAAAATTGCCTTGCCTTCCACGAAAAAATTTGAACCTCTTGACCAAAATATTATGCGGCCAGTTTTCAGGCTTATACAATTCGTCGAGTAGAGAGGCCGTGGCACCTACCTTGAATGAAGCACTTATGGCGTTTTCATTACTCGGTAGGGCTTCTACCACAAAATTTTGGTCATTATATTTTCCTTCAAGGAACTTTCGAACTTCGTCACAAGTGGTGGTTTTGCGAGCTCTGCCTACATATACCCATGCCCGAGAAACCACCGCAGAAAATGTATCCGATTCGTTACAGCCTCTTATCGTCTTATGTTTGTTTTGAACTTGATTAGTTACCTGAGGCTCCTTCTTTTTTGGGCGAGTCTTCTTTTTGTCACTCACCTTGGCATTGACAACAGTATCCGTTGACGAGTTGAGATTATTTTCGATTTCCTCCTCAATGTCACTGCTTGTATTCCTGGGTTCCAATTCTGCCCTGGATTCATTGGTTGAATGAATCACAGATTTTTGTGCCAATTGATCTCTGAGTTGCTGAATTTCATCTTCCAGTGTCGAAATCTTATGTATTAATCCCTCGACTGATTCAGTCACCACTTTCGTCATTAGTTTTTCTAGATCAGCTGCACTCATCATGACACATTCACTGGTATTATTTTTAGAGCGTGTACCCGTCATGTTGTTTATATTTTGGCTTTTATAATTAATAATGTACAACAATTTAGTTTGTTTCAAAGTGTAAAGCAGAAACACACGTCTACCCGCCTTTTGTATAAGATATTTAAAAAAAATAATGAAACAGTCAAATTTATTGATTAGTTTTTGATAAAAAATATCACCAAGGAAATCTGACCTGACCTGACCTGACCTGCCCGAACCTGACCTGACCTGACAAGCATTTTTTAAATATTTTCACAATTCGTGTTAAGGGTTATATTTGCTTTGTTAACATAAAAGTCATTATAAATGTTAATGTAATATAAATGCAACATGGATGTAATCTCAATGTAATATGGATGTAATGTCGATGTAATATGGATGTAATGTCGATGTAATATAAACCTCATAATGTAGAAAACGTCAACTTGTTCGCGATTATATATTTACAGCAGAGTCGCCCACTGTGATTTAGTAAGCAAACAAAAATTCAGATATCAACAGATCACTATTGTTTTAGAAAATTATCTTCACTGTCTTCGTCATCGCTAACAGCTTCAACCAGTTCTGTGTAAAAAATTCCGCCACTCCATTAATTTCAAAATCAGTCCCCAGCAGCGGCCCTTCTCCATCCGACGTCACTGACTCCTTAATCGATAACCCACCTCAATGTTGTCCAAAGACGGCAAAGTCGCACAGCCGCAATGCAGTCGTTCCTCGCATGGCTTATCGTTCGGGCGTGCTGGTGATTTGAATGCGTCGCCGTTCGTCCCGGAATGGTTCCGGTTCCGGAAGGGACAGTCGTAGCCAGTTCGTCGTTGAACAGCGATGGCGAAGAGACCGTCAGCACCGCGTCCGACGAGGACGATTACGACGGCGCCGTCGTCCTGCACGACGACGGCCCCGCGGAGCCCCCCTCCTTCGGGAACATCTCGGTGCAGAACTCTAGTGACGTCCATTTCGGGAACAAAACGTTCTATCAGGGACCAGTGACGATAAAGCAGTTCTTGTACGCCAATGGCAAGCCCATCGCGGACAAAAGTGGCGGTGAAGTGGTGATAGATGCGGCGACTGTGGATGATAATGGACTCGATAACCCTTCGTTTATTGCAGATCTCCCTGTCAAGGGGAGTGCGGAGAAACCTGCAGTGCAGGAAAACACTGTGTCAGGTGCCTGATTTTCTCTGTTGCGACGTAGATGATAAGAAAGTGATTAAGCGGTTGTAACTAGGTGGCGTTAAATCGGTTGTTTCTGCTTGTAAATACATTTGTTTTTGGAAGGTGGTTTCACGTTCTGGTGAACTTCACAATGAGGCGTTTAGTTGATGGTCGGCGGTAATTTTTGACAGGATGCAATACATCCGTAAAAACGAGTTCGGTTGATACTAGTTTGGTTTATTCTTTACGCTGATAGCGTTACGAGAATTTGATTAAAGGTCGTAGATGGTTGGTTTCATCCATGGAATAATTTGTAAATCACCTCGTTAATTCCGCGAACAATTAGTTGATGGTTAAAGCTAATCTTTCTAAAGAAAAAACATTTCTTATAATTCTTAACAAAACTTTACGTCGAACAACAAAATCGATTGTAGTACGAAATTTTTCCACTAAAGAAACGTTTTTTCAGAAATCGGGAAAGTGGTAGGAATGTGAGCGTTGTCAAAATTACCAATCTATGGAAAACTATGTCTATTCAAAGCTTGAATTTAAATTTTTGTGCGCCACTAACAAGGCCATTGCTGATAAGAGCAAGGTAGTGTTCGATGCGACGACTCCGCCTGATAACGGACTCGATAACCTCATCGTTTATCACAGATTTTCAAGAATAAAAAGTCATTAAACGTTTTGTAACTAAATGGCAACAACAATCGATTGTTTCTGCTCATGAATATTCATTAATTTAATTTTGAAAGGTGATTTAGTTTGGCTACATTTTAGCTTCAGGCATTTAATTGACTTTAGATAGCGATATTTATAAAAAAAAGGATGTACTTTGTAACGAGTTGGCTTTGTTATTGAAGCTATTATCAGCTAAATACTGTTATTACGAAAACATGATTAAAATGCTGCAATTATGTCAGTTTCGTTTCGTATTTTACTTAGTACAACTCAATAAACTAATTTGGTAAATTACTTCATTAATTCTACGAACAATTATTTTGTTTTATTGATGGTTAAAATTGTGTTGTAAACAAAAAATAAGAGATATATATGTCATAGCTTTGGAAGAATTTGTACTTTTTCATTTTGTTCTGTTGAAAGTTTTTATTGCGTTTATTATAGAATTATATATAGATACATCGGTAGCGTCATTATATTTAACCATAAATCAAATGTTTTTAGAGTGTGATTGGGAAAAACCAAAATGAGTCTATTTTAAGCTAAAGAAGGACTGTAATCGGGTCCATCGGACGACCGACCACGTTTATTTTTTATCGACATTTCATGACCTCTAAAATACAAAAAAATATGTCTCCCATTTCTGTCTGTCTATCGATTTTTAGCAGACAGATAATGACCCAAATTACTGTATCTACCAATTGTTGTCAAACTGTGCATTAATATTAGCAATATCATCAAAATTTGTCTGATCGTCCCCACTAACAATGGAATGATGTCATTTCCAAATTTTACAACAGTAAAATTAACGTAGATTCTTCAATTTTCGAGCCTTCAATTTTACGATTCTTCGTTTTATTTCTGGATTTTTTACATTTTCTATTATTCGAATTTTTAAATTTTAGATTTTTCGTTTTTTTCATGTTTATTTCTCGATTTTTCAATGTTTCGATAATTCAGTTCTGGGATATTTTAATATTCCGATCTTTTAAATTTCAGGTTTATACATGTGTTCAAAGTTATTCCAAAGTTTCAATTTAGGGTTTTCCGATATTTTGATTTTTCAATTTTTGGCGTTTCCAAATGTTTCGGTTTCCCAATTTTTCGAGTCTTCAATTTCTCGAATTAACCAATTTTGGATTTCTCTATTTTTTCATTTTCTTATTTTTCCGACACATATTTCAGTTTTTCAACTTCTAGATTCTTCAATTTTACGAGTCTTCAATTATTCGATTCTGCAGTCTTAAGATTTTTAAATTTTTCTATTTTTCATTTTTTGACCTTTCTAAATTTTCAATTTTTCAACATTAGACTTTGATTTTCCCAATTATCGATTTCTCAACTTTTGATGTCTCCACTTCTCAAGTCGATTTTTCAATGTTTCAATTTTCGAGTTTTTTGATTTTTCAATTTGAATTCTCAATATTTTACATTTTGATTTTTTAAATTTTGGACTTTTCTGTTTTTCAATTTCCTGATATTTCGAGTTTTCGGCTTTTCGGTTTTAGATTTTCTACGAGGTAAGCGCCAAATATTCTCGGCCTGATATATTTGCGATTGCTCATCGGGAAATTTGTGCAACTCATAGAAGACTAGAGGGTCCCCGCAGTATGTGTGTAAAATTTCAAGCCCTACTGCCCATTAGTTTTGATACATTTGAGGAGTAATCTTTGAAAAATTATGGACTCATGATGCCTGTTTAAAATTGAAAATCGAACGGCAATAAAATTCTTAGCAAAAGATGGAATTGCTCTAAAGGGTGTTAAGGGCAGGATGGTTTTTGTGTTTGCTGAAGCTTGTCCTTCACATTTTACTAAAAAAAATGATTACAGTTATTTCGCATGGGGTAAGAAACCCTTGAAGACGAATCAATCTTCCAAAAAAATCATGGCCACAATTTTTTGGGACTGTAAAGGCATGTTGTTGATTAATTTTAAAGGATGAAATACCACTGTCAACGCTACATATTATGGTTACTTATTGCATAAATTAGGAGAACGTATTTGGGAAAAAAGGCCGAGAAAATTAGCAAGAGGCGTTCGATTGCTTCATGACAATGCGCCCGTTCATACCGCATGTCTTTCTCAAGCTGCTATAGGGGCCTGTGACTTCGAGTAACTTGAGCACCCACCCTATAGTACTGACTTAGCTTCGAACGATTATTAACTGTTCTCTAAGTTAAAAAACGACTTGCAGGGAAAACGTTTGGGACGGATAAAGAAGTGCAAACGGCAGTACTACATCATTTTAGTGATAAAGATTCAAATAATTTTTTTAAACGGATAGAGCTGTTAGTTGAACGTAGTTTTGAATGTATTGAAGTTAACAGAGACTATGTTGAAATATAAATATTTAATTTTTTTCCATCAGGTCTCTTTCTTTGTTAGGCCGAGAATATTTGGCGCTTACCTCGTACGTTTTAAATTTTTTCTGATTTTCGAAATTTTTGGATTTTTCGGTTTTTAAATTTTTCAATTTTTCGATTTCTCGGTTTATCGAGATTTCGATGCTTTGAATTTTCGATTGTTCAGTTCCCGATTTATCCATTTTTCGACTTTTAGATTTCTTAACTTTTGGATGTTTGGACTTCTCGGTTTATCGATTTTTCCGTTTTCAGTTCTTCAGTTTCTCTATTTTCAGAATGATTTTTAATTTCTCAATTTTTCGTCTTCAGTTTTTCTTAGATTTTTCAATTTTTCGATCGATTTATTAATTTTTCAACACTCAGTTTACGGATTTTCCAATATATCGATTCCTCAATTTTTCGATGTTTCGTTTTGATCTCTTGATTTTTTATATTTTCAGTTCTCCAATTTTTCGATATTTTAAATCTTAGATTTTTTTATTTTTCGTAGTTCGATTTTTCTACTTTTCGGTTTTGGATTCTCCAGTTTTTCAATTTTTGGAATTTTAAAATGTTTGATTTTCCAAATTTTCAATTTTTCGGTTTTTAATTTTTTTTCATTTTTTAGTTTTTCGGTTTCCCAATTTATCGAATTTCAATTGATTGAATTTTCTACTGTTCAGTTTGCGAATTTTTCGAATGTTCAATTTTTCAGTTTTTCGATTTTAGGTTACTTCAATTTCTCGGTTTTTCGATTTTTCAACTTTGTGGCTTTCCAAATTTTTGATTTTCCAATTTTTCAATGGTTTGAATTTTCGATTCTGCAATTTTTCGATCTTTTAAATTTTAGATTTTTCGATTTTTCAGTTTTTAATTTTTACTTTTTTCGATTTCCCGATAATTTTTCGATTTTTAAAATTTTTCGAGTTTTCGTTTTTTCGAGTTCATGATTTTTCAGGTTTTTGATTTCTCAATTTTTCCACATTTCAATTTTGGAAATTTTTTAAATTTTCCATAAATTAAGTTTTAGACTTTTTTATTTTATATTTCCCAGTTTTTCAATTTTTTGATTTTTCAGCTTTAAAATTTTTCAATTTTTCAATTTTTAATGTTTTGGTTTTTCAATGTAGGGTTATACTTCGATTTCTCGGTTTTCCACTTTGTGGATTTCAATTTTTAATTTTCCAATTTTCCGATGTTTCGATTTTTCGATTCTGCAATTTTTTGATGTTTTAAATTTTAGATTTTTTGATTTCTAGATTTTTCGTTTTTTGATTTTTAAAATTATTCGACTTTTCATTTTTTCGATTCCACGATTTTTCAGGTTTTTGATTTATGAATTTTTCAACATTTCAATTTTGGGAATTATTCAAGTTTTCCATATTTTAATTCTTCGATATTTCGAATTTTCGATTTTTCAGTTTTTTAATTTTTTAATTTTTCGATTTATTAAGATATTTTAGTTTTTAAATTTTTTAAATTTTAGATTTACAGATTTTTTAATGTTTCAATATTTCAGTTTCGGAATTTTTAATATTTCCTTTCTTCAATTTTCCGATTTGCCATTTTGATCTCTCAATTTTTTACATTTTTTCATTTCCAATTTTTCGATTTTATTTAAATCTTAGATTTTTCAATTTTTTAATTTTTTGACATTTCGATTTTTTTACTTTTCAATTTCGGATTTTCCAGCATTTCCATTTTACGATTTTAAAAATTTTTGATTTTCCAAATTTTCAATTTTCCAAGTATCAATTTTTCAGGGATTAAATTTTTCCATTTTGCAATTTTTCGATTTTTTGACATTTCGATTTTTCTACTTTTCAGTTTTGGATTTTCCAAGATTTCTATATTTCGATTTTTAAAATTTTTGATTTTCCAAATTTTCAATTTTCCAAGTATCAATTTTTCAGGTATTAAATTTTTCCATTTTTCAATTTTTCGATTTCTCGATTTATCGAAATTTCGATTCGTCGATTCGTCGAATTTTCGATTGTTCAGTTTCCCGATTTTTCAATTTTTTAATTTTTCCGTTTATTGATTTTTTATAATTTCCCAATTGTTTAGTGTTTAATTTTTCGGTTTTTCGATTTTTCAACTTTGTGGCTTTTCAATTTTTTGATTTTGAAATTTTCCAATGCTTCGATTTTTCGATTCTGCTATTTTTCGATCTTTTAAATTTTAGATTTTTCGATTTTTTAGTTTTTTAATTTTGACATTTTTCAATTTCTCGATAATTTTTCGTTTTTTCGATTTCATGATTTTTCAGGTTTTTGATTTCTCATTTTTTCAACATTCCAATATTTTCCGATATTTCGATTTTTCGAATCTGCAATTTTTTGATGTTTTAAATTTTAAATTTTATGATTTCTAGATTTTTCATTTTTTGATTTTTAAAATTATTCGACTTTTCATTTTTTCGATTCCACGATTTTTCAGGTTTTTGATTTATGAATTTTTCAACATTTCAATTTTGGGAATTATTTTAATTCATCAATATTTTGAATTTTCGATTTTTCAATTTTATAATTTTTCAATTTTTCGATTTATCGATTAAGATATTTTAATTTTTAAATTTTTTAAATTTTAGATTTACACATTTTTTAATTTTTCGATATTTCATTTTCGGTATTTTCAATTCTTCAATTTTCCGATTTGCCATTTTGATATTTCAATTTTTTACATTTTTGATTTTCCAATTTTCGATTTTTTAAATCTCAGATTTTTCAATTTTTTGACATTTCGATTTTTCTACTTTTCGACTTTGGATTTTCCAGTATTTCTATTTTTCGATTTTAAACATTTTTTATTTTCTAAACTTTCAATTTTCCAAGTATCAATTATTCAGGTATTAAATTTTTCCATTTTTCAATTTATCGGTTTATTGATTTTTTATAATTCTTCAAATGTTTAGTTTTTAATTTTTCAGTTTTTCGATTTTTCAACTTTGTGGCTTTTCAATTTTTTGATTTTCCTATTTTCCAATGTTTTGATTTTTCGATTCTGCAATTTTTCAATCTTTAAAATTTAAATTTTTCGATTTTTCAGTTTTTTCATTTTTGCATTTTTCGATTTCTCGATTATTTTTTAATTTTGAATTTTTTTTTACTTTTCGTTTTATCGAATTCATGGTTTTTCAGCTTTTTAGTTTCTCAATTTTTCAACATTTCAATTTTAGGAATTTTCAAGTTTTCCAAATTTTAATTTTTAGATTTTTGTATTTTTCAATTTTTCGATTTTCCAATTTTCCGATGTTTCGAGTTTACGATACTGCAATTTTTCGATCTTTCAAATTTGAGATTTTTCGTTTTATTGATTTTTAAAATTATTGGACTTTTCATTTTTTAGATTTCACGATTTTTCAGATTTGTGATTTCTCATTTTTTCAACATTTTTTTAGTTTTCCATATTTTAATTTTTAGGTTTTTTAAATTTCGGATTTTTCGGTTCATCGATTTCTCGATTTTTTGTTGTTTCACATACTCATTCTATAGATTTTTCGACTTTTCGAATTTCGATTTTTCAGTTTTTTAATTTTTCGATTCCTCGGCTTTTCGATTTTTCAATTTTCCAGTTTTTATTGCTCCATTTCTCGATAGATATTTCGATTTTTCGACTTTGTGGCTTTTTAATTTTTCGATTTTCCAATTTTCCGATGTTTCGTTTCGATTTTTCGATTCTGCAATTCTTCGATTTTTTAAATTTTAAATTTTTTGATTTCTACATTTTTGGTTTTTTTGATTTTGAAAATTTTTCGACTTTTCATTTTTTCGATTTAACGATTTTTCAGGTTTTTGGTTTCTCAATTTTTCAACATTTCAATTTCTGGAATTTTTCAAGTTTTCCCTATTTTGGAATTTTTAGGTTTTTTAAATTTCAGATTTTTCTGTTCATCGATTTCTTGATTTTTTGATGTTTCGCATACTCAAATCTGTAGATTTTTCGACTATTCGAATTTCGATTTTTCAGTTTTTCAATTTTTCGATTTCTCGACTTTTCGATTTTTCTAAAAGCAGTTATGCTTTTTGTACTAACTTTATTTAGTTTGAAAAATATAGTAAAAAAGATTTTCGTTCATTTTTATGTAAAATTTACCGTGAACAAATTGTATGTGTTAACAAAATATTTGTAACATATTTGTTTTCAAAAATAAATTGTCTAACAATACATATATGAAGCAAGTTAAAAAAATCGGCTTAAAGAAATCATAAAAGTTTACTAGATATAAACACGACAAAGCTGAGGTTAATTAAACCTATAATAAATAAACTGATAATAATGACAAACATAGAACAACTCACATTTCACAGAAAAACTACTAACGCACATTTCATTTAGTTTATTTATTAATATTTCATTATTTCCGTTGCGGTTGAAATTGAAATTCTGATTAAAAATCACCGTCTAAAAATCGTAGATAAAAAAAAACCTGACTCAGCTTAACTGCACTTAAGCGTGTTAAATCTACTTTAAACTTTATTGTAGTAAATGCAAATATACTTCTCCAAACAAACGAAATTCCTAACGTTGCTACGCTAATTTAAATTTTATCATTACCAAATCTTTAAAAATAGAACGCAGTGCAAACGTTGGCCTTATTTATTTATTTATTTATTTATTAATTTTAAGGATCGCGTAACGAAATTAAGTCCTTGCAATTTCCTCACTCCTAAATCAAACAAACGTCCTTTAGACCACAATTAAACGTACTCAGAGAAAGCGCTTTATGCAAATAAACCTGTCTTCAATTTTAACAAGGCGATTATTTGAATATCAGTCTCTCTTCTCGCTTTGTCGTTTCCAGCCTAGATTACCTTGAATCAAATTAGTGGTTAGACTATTGTTCACTAACGTGACGTTATTTATAAATAAAATGATCCGTCTTTATCAGTTAAGGCTGTCACAACCCTAATCAACCTTGATACTAATTCTTTGTTTGCAGGATTCCGACGATTCCAGACCTTCGCCCACCAAAACGTCGTCATTCTAGTCAGTCTTCTTGCGGTGTTAATGGTCTCTTTAGCAATTTTAATGGTAGTTTTATTATTAAGGCACAATCCCGTTCCCGCGGACGACGAGCCAAGCAATAAGGCAGATCGGGACGAACAAGGATCAAATACACCCATCGCTGCGCCCTTAGGTAAGGTGGAAAGGTCGCGTGCATGGAATGCACAATGGTAAACTTCACCTTCACTTGGTCGTAAAAACAATGACATAAAACGTAGTTTATTTGCCCCAAAGTTGGTTTGCTTTGTTGTTGGGTCTGGCAAAACGCTTTGTTGGTATGCAGGTAGAGGTGTGGGTACGCCACTGGAAGTGGGTTATCGAACGGTGATGGGTGCTGGTAATATTTGGGTTTTCCTAATTGCTGCACATGTTTTCCTAATGGGACGCAAATAAAGTAAAAGCTTATTAGTAGGAATAGGAAATGTTTTGGATTCCGTGACGCGTTTCAAATTTTTGGAAAACGAATAAATAGGTCTCCCGTTTACGTCTGTCTGTCTGTCTATCCAAATTTTTCAAAACTACTAGATTTACAATAGTAAATTTGTTTACATGTTAATTTTTCAGTTTCTCGCCTTCCTATTTTTTTTTTATTTTTCGAATTTTCAATTTTTTGATTTTACAATTTTCCATTTTCTCAATTTTTAATTCTTCGATTTTAAAATTTTTCTTTCCTCAATTTTTCGAGTTCTTGGTTTTTATTTTTCATTTTCCCGGCTTTTTAATTTCCATTTTCTCGGTTTTATATCACAATTTTTCATTATTTCAGTTCTTTTATTCTTTCAATGTTTCTTTTAATTTTACAGTTTTTTGTTTATTCTTTCTTCAAATTTTCAATCTTTGATTTTTTAATTACTCAATTTTCCAATTTTTAAATATTCCATTTTAGCAATTTTTGGATTTGGCAATTATCCAATTTTCCGATTTCTTTATTTTTCATTATTTCGATATTATATTTCGTTTTTTTTTTCCGTTTTTCATCTTTCGATTTTTCAATTATCCATTTCTTGGGAAATGGAAGATTTCAAAAATCGAAAAATTGAAAAGTAAATAAAATAAAATCGAAAAATCCAATAATTTAAAATTAAGAAAAATCGAAACATTGAAATATCACAAAATTGAATAATTGAAAAATACAAAATTCGAAAAACCAAAAATTTTAAATATCGAAAATTTGAAAACTCGAAGAATTGAAAAATTGAAAAATCGAAATTACGATGAATCAAACGTTCGAAAAACAACGAAAATCCGAGAAATTGGAAAACCGAAAAATTGAAAAATCAAAAAATCGAAAATTCGAAAAACTGCAAACATTGAAAAACCGAGAAGTCGAAAAAAGGATTATTTAAAAAATGAAAAAATTGGAATTTTAAAAAATTAGTAATTCGTAGAATCGAAAAATCTAAAATTAAAAAAATCGGAAAACTGGAGAAATTGAAAATTTCCAAAATTAAAATGTAAAAAATTGGAAAATCCAAACATCAAGAAATTGGAAAATCGAAAAATCGAAACATCGGAACATCGAAAAATTAAAAATTGAAAACTTGACAACTTGAATTGAAATCTCAAGAAGTCGAGAAATTGAAAAAAACGAAAAACTAAAAATCTAAAGAAATTGGAAAATCGAAAAACTGAAAAACTGAAAAATCGGAACACTGAAAAGCTAGAAATCGAAAAAAATTTATAAATCGAAAAATTTTAGTATCGTCAAAATTGTAAAGTTGAAAACAAATGTAAAATTGAAAGATCGAAAAATTGAAAAATTAAATATCGAGGAAGTTTTAAAATCCAACAACTGAAAAATCTAAAATTGTAAAATTAAAAAAAAACGAACTGAAAAAGTTGCAAGTCAAAAATTCAAAAAACGAAAGTTTGAAAAATCGAGAAACTGAAAATTTTAAAATCGAAAAAACGAGACATTAAAAAATCTAAAAGTTGGAAAATTGAAAAATTGCAAATCGAAAATTGAAAAATTGCAAATCGAAAATTGAAAAATCCAAAAACTGAAAAAATGAAGAAAATAAAAACCGAAATGAAAAATTGTAAATTGAAAAATTGAATAAATGACAAAAGTTTAAAATCCAATTACTGAAAAAGTGGATAATTTTAAAAATTGCAAATCAAAAAGTGAAAAATCCGAAAATTGAAAAATTTCACACTGAAAAAAAAAATTAGAAAATCGAAAATTGGGAAGTCCAAAAATTGAAAAAATATTGAAAAAAAAAGAAATTCAGCACACTGAAAAAGCGAAAAACTGAAAAAATGAAAAAAGTAAAAAACCGAAATGAAAAATGTCAAATCGAAAATTTAAAAAATTCAAAAATTCAAAAAATACCCTTGAAAAAAAAAGCAGCAATAATTAGAAAATCTAAAAGTTGGAAAATCGAAAAATTGCAAATCAAAAATTGAAAAATCCAAAAACTGAAAAAATTTCAACAAATATCAGCACATTGCAAAAGCGAAAAACTGAAAAAATTAAGAAAATAAAAAACTTAAATGAAAACTGGCAAAACGAAATTTAAAAAATTTAAAAATAAAGAAAATAAAAATGAAAAATTTCAAATCGAAAAATTGAAGAAATGAAAAAGTTTTAAAATCAAATAACTGAAAGATGGAAAAAATTCTAAAATTTAAAAATGAGAACCTGAAATTGCAAATTAAAAAAAATTAATATTGAAAAAAACAAAAATTACAAGATCGAATAATCGAAAAAATAAAGAAAATAAAACCGAAGAAATGAAAAATTGAAAAATTATAAATTGAAACCTGGTGAAATTTCAAATCGAAAAATTTGCTAAATCTAAAAATTAAACATCCAAAAGTTGGAAAACAGGAAATCTGAAAAATTTTAAAATGAAAACTTGCAGAGGTGCATTTCGTAAAATTGAAGAAACAGGCATGAAAAATTGAATTTTTTTTTATTTACTGATTTAAAATGGAAGAAACGAAACATTGAAAAAACTTAAAATGAAAAACAAAAAATTATAGAATCGAATAATTGAAAAAATAAAAAAATAATAAAAACCGAAACGAACAATTACAAACTAAAAAACTGAAGAAATGAAAAATTGAAATATCCCAAAGTTGGAAAATTGGAAATCTGAAACATTTAAGGAAAACTTGTAGAGATGCATTTCATAAAATTAAAGAAAGAAGCATGAAAAACTGAAAAATTGAAGAAACAAAAAATTTTTAAATAAATATAAAATTATAGAATCGAATAATTGAAAAAAAAAAACCGAAACGAAAAATTACAAACCGAAAAATTGAAAAATTAAAAATTCAAATCTGGTGAAATTTCAAATCGAAAAATTGCTAAATCCAAAAATTAAACACCCAAAAGTTGGAAAATGGGAAAATTGAAAAATTGAGAAATCGCAAATCGATAAATTGAAGAAACTTAAATTTGAAAAAATTAAAATTCAAAAACAAAAAATTATAGAATCAAATAGTTGAAAAAAAAGCCGAAACGAAAAATTACAAACCGAATTGAAGAAATCAAAAACTGAAAAATTAAAAATTCAAATCTGGTGAAACTTCAAATGGAAAAATTGCTAAATGTAAAAATTAAACATCCAAGAGTTGGAAAATAGGAAAACTGAAAAATTTAAGGAAAACTTGTGGAGAGACTTGTGTGCATTTCGTAAGATTGAAGAAAGAATAATGAAAAACTGAAAAATTGAAAACTGAAAAATTGAAGAAACGAAAAAATTTTAATTAAACAATAAAAAATTATAGAAAAAATAAAAAACCGAAACGAAAAATTACAAACCGAAAAATTGAAAATATAAAAATTCAAATTTGGTGAAATTTCAAATCGAAAAATTTCTAAATCTAAAAATTAAACATCCAAAAGTTGGAAAATAGGAAAACTGAAAAATTTGAAAAGGAAAACTTGTAGACATGCATTCCGTAAAATTGAAGAAACGAAAAACTAAAAATTGTAATTAAAAAATAAAAAATTATAGAATCTAATCATTGAAAAAATAAAAAAGTAAAAACTGAAACGAAAAATTAAAACCGAAAAATTGAAGAAATGAAAAACTGAAAAATTAAAAATTCAAATCTGGTAAAATTTCAAATCGAAAAATTGCTAAATCTAAAAATTAAACATCCAAAAGTTGGAAAATAGTTGCGATTCGTAAAATTGAAGAAACAGGCACGAAAAATTGCAATTAAAAAAATTGGAGAAACGAAAAATTGAAAAAATTTAAATTGAAAAACAAAAAATTATAGAATGGAATAATTGAAAAAAATCAAAAATAAATAAAAACCGAAACGTTAAATTACAAACCGAAAAATTGAAAATATAAAAATTCAAATTTGGTGAAATTTCAAATCGAAAAATTTCTAAATTTAAAAATTAAACATCCAAAAGTTGGAAAATAGGAAAACTGAAAAATTTAAAAAGGAAAACTTGTAGACATGCATTTCGTAAAATTAAAGAAAGAATCATGAAAAACTGAAAAATTGGAAATCGAAAAATTGAAGAAACAAAAAATTTTTAAATAAACAATATAAAATTATAGAATCGAATAATTGAAAAAATAAGAAAAAATAAACCCAAACGAAAAATTACAAACCGAAAAATTGAAAAATTAAAAATTCAAATCTGGTGAAATTTCAAATCGAAAAATTGCTAAATCCAAAAATTATACACCCAAAAGTTGGAAAATAGGAAAATTGAAAAATTGAGAAATCGCAAATCGATAAATTGAAGAAACTTAAAATTGAAAAAATTAAAATTCAAAAACAAAAAATTATAGAATCAAATAGTTGAAAAAAAAACCGAAACGAAAAATTACAAACCGAATTGAAGAAATGAAAAACTGAAAAATTAAAAATCCAAATCTGGTGAAATTTCAAATCGAAAAATTGCTAAATCTGAAAATTAAACATCCAAGAGTTGGAAGATAGGAAAACTGAAAAATTTAAGGAAAACTTGTGGAGATGCATTTCGTAAAATTGAAGAAAGAATAATGAAAAACTGAAAAATTGGAAATTGAAAAATTGAAGAAACGAAAAAATTTTAATTAAACAAAAACAAATTATAGAAAAAATAAAAAACCGGAACGAAAAATTACAAACCGAAAAATTGAAAATATAAAAATTCAAATTTGGTGAAATTTCAAATCGAAAAATTTCTAAATCTAAAAATTAAACATCCAAAAGTTGGAACATAGGAAAACTGAAAAATTTAAAAAGGAAAACTTGTAAAGATGCATTTCGTAAAATTGAAGAAACGAAAAACTGAAAAATTTTAATTAAAAAATAAAAAATTATAGAATCTAATAATTGAAAAAATACAAAAATAAAAAACCGAAACGAAAAATTAAAACCGAAAAATTGAAGAAATGAAAAACTGAAAAATTAAAAATTCAAATCTGGTAAAATTTCAAAAATCAAAAATTGAAAATACCCAAAATTGAAAAATTTCACATTGAAGAAAGAAAAATTAGAAAGTCTTAAAGTTGGCAAAAAATCGAAAATTGAAAAGTCCAAAAATTGAAAAAATATTACAGAAAAGAAAAATCAGCACATTGAAAAACCGAAAAACTGAAAAAATGAAGAAAATAAAAAGCCGAACTGAAAAATGGCAAATCGAAAATTAAAAAATCCAAAAATAAAGAAAATAAAAACCCTAATTAAAAATTTCAAATCGAAAAATTGAAGAAATGAAAAATTGAATAAATGAAAAAGTTTTAAAATCAAATAACTGAAAAATGGAAAAAATTCTAAAATCGTAAAGCAGAAAAACTATTAGATACATATTTAAAATGAAAACTGGAAAAAACTGTAAATCAGAAATTGAAGAAACGGGAAATTTAAAAATCAAAAGGTTGAAAAATAAAAAAATTGCAAATCGAAAAACTGAAAAATCCGAAAATTGAAATATTTCACATTGACAAAAAGAAAAATTAGAAAATCAAAGCATAAAAAACCGAAAAATTGAAAAAATTAAGAAAATAAAAAAACTGAAACTAAAAACTGCAAATCGAAAAATTGAAGAAATGAAAAATTGAAAAATATAAAAATTGAAAAATTAAAAATTGAAATCTCGTGAAATTGCAAAATCTAAAAATTGAAACATTCGAAAGTTGGAAAACTGAAAAATTTAAAAATGACAACCTGAAATTGCAAATTGAAAAACTTAATATTGAAAAAAACAAAAAATTACAAGATCGAATAATTGAAAAAATAAAGAAAAAAAACCGAAACAAAAATTTGAAGAAATGAAAACTTGAAAAATTAAAAATTGAAACTTGATATCTCAAATCTAAAAATTGCTAAATCTAAAAATTAAACATACAAAAATTGGAAAATAGAAAATCTAAAAAATTTGAAAAGGGAAACTTGTAGAGATGCATTTCGTAAAATTGAAGAAAGAAGCATAAAATATAGAAAAGTTGCAAATCGAAAAATTGAAAAAATTTAAATTGAAAAATTAAAAACGCAAATCTGGTGAAATTTCAAATCGAAAAATAGCTAAATCTAAAAAATAAACATCCAAAAGTTGGAAAATAAGAAAACTGAAAAATTTAAGGAAAACTTGTGGAGATGCATTTCGTAAAATTGAATAAAGAATAATGAAAAGGTGAAAAATTGGAAATCGAACAATTGAAGAAACGAAAAAATTTTAATTAAACAATAAAAAATTATAGAATGGAATAATTGAAAAAATAAAAAAATAGAAAACCGAAACGAAAAATTACAAACCGAAAAATTGAAAATATAAAAAATCAAATCTGGTAAAATTTCAAATCGAAAAATTGCTAAATCTAAAAATTAAACATCCAAAAGTTGGAAAAAAGGAAAACTTGTAGAGATGCATTCCGTAAAATTGAAGAAACGAAAAACTGAAAAATTTTAATCAAAAAATAAAAAATAATAGAATCTAATCATTGAAAAAATAAAAAAGTAAAAACTGAAACGAAAAATTAAAACCGACAAATTGAAGAAATGAAAAAATTAAAAATTAAAAATTCAAATCTGGTAAAATTTCAAATCGAAAAATTGCTCAATCTAAAAATTAAACATCCAAAAGTTGGAAAATAGTTGCAATTCGTAAAATTGAAGAAACAGGCACGAAAAATTGCAATTCAAAAAATTGGAGAAACGAAAAATTGAAAAAATTTAAATTGAAAAACAAAAAATTATAGAATGGAATAATTGAAAAAAATAAAAAATAAATAAAAACCGAAACGTTAAATTACAAACCGAAAAATTGAAGAAATGAAAAATTGAAAAATTAAAAATTGAAACTTGGTGAAATTTCAAATCGAAAAATCGCAAAATCCAACAAAAATTTAAACATCCCAAAGTTGGAAAATAAGAAAACTGAAAAATTTTAAATTTTGTGGACGTGCGTATATGCATATCGTAAAATTAAAGAAAAAAAATATTTAAAAAATTAAACAATTGCAAATGGAAAGCTTGAAAAAACGAAACATTTAAAAAATTAAATTTGAAAAAAGAAAAACTTATAAAATCGAAAAAATGTAAAAATAAAGAAAAAAAAAACCAAAATAAAACCTGTAAACAAAAATTTGAAGAAATGAAAAATCGAAAAATTAAAAATTGCAAAATCTAGAAACTGAGGAAACAAAAAAAAATGAAAAATTAAGAAATCGCAAATCGATAAATTGAAGAAACTAAAAACCGAAAAAACAAAAAAATTACAAAATCTAAACAATGAAAAATTCGGAAGTTTGAAACATCGAAAAACTGAAAAATTTAAACTTGAAAACTCGAAAAACTGCAAATCGAAAAACTGGAAAAAAACAAAAAAATGAAAAATTGAAAAAATGAACAATTCAAGTCAAAAAAATTGTTACAGAAAACAAAAATAGTAATTTTTTTTTATAATTTTCCAAAGAAGCGAGATTTATTGGACTGCACTTCAAGGGCAATTTTTGAAACTTGCAGTTATTTACACCTGGTGTTCATTTCCGCGGAACTACAAAACGACGACTCTAACCAGAAATTAATTTTATCTGAAATGCAACAGCGAAGAAAAAACGCCACAAGTAAAGGGAATGTTGGTTTTGTTTTTACTGAATTACAAACTTTTTCGACGTTATTATTGTATCAAAGCAACACTTCACACGTAATTCGTCCTTCCTTCTAACAATAACGCAACCTTGAACAGGTTGAATTTTCTATAGAAATTTCATTTTACTTGCGTTGTCACCGTATTTGCATTGTATAGCATGAACTTACAGGAAAGCATGTAGGAGCGGCATTTTTGGAATATTTTACAAAATGCTCCGAAGTTTTACTCGAACAATTTAATTTGTAAAATAACCTTCACTTTTCACAGAGTACATGGTCTTTCTAATAATAATTTCGCCGTGAAATAAAATTATACAGTGTTTAACTTGATTAAAGTTGTAAATTACGTAATTATCACGTCGTAGTACGACTTCATTTATTACTAACATTTGATGACTTCAATCCGACTATTTTTTTTTTTTTTCTAGATCCGAAGGCCAACCTGACCCTCCCCTCCAAGCTCAAGTTGGTTTCGCGCCTCGAGTGGCTCGCGCAACCCCCTACCGAGCCGGCCACACCCCTCCACACCCCCGTCCCCTACGTGATAATCCACCACACAGCAACCGAGAACTGTTCCTCTCAAGCCCAATGCGTCTTCCAGGTTCGCTACATCCAGACCTACCACATCGAAAGTCGCGGTTGGTGGGACATCGGCTACAATTTCCTGGTTGGAGGCAACGGCGAAGCCTACGAAGGCCGGGGTTGGAAGTCCGAGGGGGCTCACACGTTCGGGTACAACGCCCACAGCATAGGAATTGCCTTCATCGGGACTTTCAATAAGTACAAGCCGCCAGAGCGGCAGATCACCGCCTGCAAGCACGTCATCGCAAAAGGGGTGGAGTTGGGATACATTAACAAGGATTACAAGTTGCTGGCGCCAAGGCAACTCCAGACTACGAAAAGTCCGGGGGATGCGTTGTATGAGGAGTTGAAAACGTGGGACCATTGGGCGGCGGGTCCTTGATGTGTTTGAAAGTGTGTGGAAGATATAAAAGTACAAAGAAAAAACGGATGTCCTGGTATAGTGGTTTCGAACCGTTGTTCTGGTTTGACATAGTCGAAATGAAATAATAATTAATTCGGAACTGCATGCTTGCATAACAACGACCGACACGATACAGTGGCTATTTTTATGTCGCATGACACAACATTACGTAAAAGATATGTTGCAGCAACACACAATTTTCCACATGCTACAACTGAAAATGATCTACAATTTAAAGCAGTGCGGCCTTGGGGTTATAGGATTTTTCTTTCTTCTGTGTAATTTTCAAGTAATAATTCTATAAAAATTTGTAATATGTGATTGCAAAATGTTATTGTGAACTTTTTTAATAAAAGTATGTAAATATGTACACTTATTAGCTACAATGAAAGTATTCATAAGACTGATATTGAGTTTTTATATTTTAAATCTGTAGACAAATGTAAATACAAATAAACGTCAACAAAAATTGTTTCGACCTAAGTGCGATTTGTTTTAATTTTTCTGATTGCATTGTTTGTCCCAAAAATAAGTGTTATGATCTTTGTATTGAGCTTAAGTTATCGTAGCAAGATAAGTGTAATTTTTATAAATAATAAAATTTTTTATTGTTTCGCTGGTTGCTAACAGCGTCGCTTGAGAACTTGTTTGACCTACAGACCAGAGCGCGCTCAAGCCATTGTCGACTCTATAAACCATGTTGGAATTGTCATCGTGCAATAGATTTTTTTTCTTTTTGTTTTAATAATATTCAGCGAAATAAACAACTATAAATCTTATTTTGATTTCGTGCCACAAATAATTTTAAAAATAAGACCAAAAAGTTTTACTGTTTTAGAAGTCTCAGTAAAGATTTTGCAAAGTCGATTTCTTTAAAGTAAGTAAATGGATATCTTGTTCTTATTCTTGTATCAGGCATTAAATGCTCACTGATTTCCCGAATGACAATATTTACATTTCAAAGCTCTTGTAGTTATAAACGAAAATTTAAATATTTCACAGTTATTAGGCGAAGTTCTAAACTTTCGTCGAATGGAACAAACCCACAATAAAATTTATGAGAATATTTCCATTTGACAACAGTGTTTGCCTGATATAAAACGAAGGTGCTAAGATAAAACAGATTTTGGCAAATCACATACTCTCTAAGAAAAGAAAGGGCGGGTGGGCGGACTAGTACCTTCTAAGATAAGACCAACTTTGGCAAATGACATACCCTGTAAGAAAAGAGAGGGAGAAATTCTTCAGGTTTTCAAGTTGAAATTTTTCAACCTCTATTGTTTTGATTTTTCATTTTTTTAGATTTTTGTGCAATTTTTCGATCTGCAATTTTTCTAGTTTTCACATCCAAAGTTGTTTATTCTGATTTTTTAATTTCTCGGTTCTTTGTTTTTTGATTTTTCAATATTTCGATCTTCAGTTTCTAGATTCTTGGTTTATTTGCAGTTTTTTTTTTTAATTTAAAAGAATCTTGAGCTTCTAGGTATTCCTGTTTGGAAAAAATTTGAAAGTGCCTTGGAGCCTCTAGTGTTTTTTCTTATAATAATTTAATTAAATTTCTTACGGGATAGCTACAATCAGTCTTATCTTAGTAGGTACTAGCCCTGCCCACCCGCCCTCTCTTTTCTTAGAGGATATGTCATTTGCCAAAATCAGTTTTATCTTAGCAAGTACTAGCCCCGCCCACCCACCCGGTTTTTTCTTAGAAGGCATCTCATTTGCCAAAATCAGTCTTATCTTAGCAGGTACTAGCCCCGCCCACCCACCCTCTCTTTTCTTAGAGGGTACGTCATTTACCAAAATCAGTCTTATCTTAGCAGGTACTAGCCCCGCCCACCCACCCTGTTTTTTCTTAGAAGGCATCTCATTTGCCAAAATCAGTCTTATCTTAGCAGGTACTAGCCCCGCCCACCCACCCTCTCTTTTCTTAGAGGGTATGTCATTTGCCAAAATCAGTCTTATCTTAGCAGGTACTAGCCCCGCCCACCCACCCTGTTTTTTCTTAGAAGGCATCTCATTTGCCAAAATCAGTCTTATCTTAGCAGGTACTAGCCCCGCCCACCCACCCTCTCTTTTCTTAGAGGGTATGTCATTTGCCAAAATCAGTTTTATGCTAGCAAGGATTAGCCCCGCCCACCCGCCCTCTTTTTTCTTAGGTATTAGGTATCTCATTTGCGAAAATCAGTCTTCTCTTAGCAGCGATTTTGCTTTCTGATAACTTCAATAAAGTAAAAACCAGTTTGAAATACATTTGAAACAAATAACCAACGGGAAAATGTAGATGTTCTCAATTTCTCAGTACATGCTTAACTTCAACTGTTAATGTTTATAGTTCGATAGAATTCAACTATAAGCACGTTCAGGTTGATTTTGTCTCTTAATTAACTACACTCTGTTTTTTCGCAAAAACTCTCATTTTGTAAGATTACCGACAGAATTTGAATAATGATTTACGATGCTTCCAATTACAATAAAAAATTTGCAAGATGTCACAGCATTCCGTTTTTCCAGTTCCAAAGTTAAATTGTAAAATATTGTTATAATTTTTTTTCCCAAAAAATTGGATCCCAAGGGTAAAAACTCAACTCAAACAACAACTATGGATTCATAAATCACGATGCAGAAGCATGTTATTTTCTAAAATTTAAAAAACATTTATTCGGCAGAATTGTTCACTTTTGGGGGACATAAACGAAAAAAAATTGGATTAACGATTTGCCATGCTTACGATAACCTTAAAACATTAAATTGCTAAATATTGTTACACCTTTTAATTTTTTTTTCTTTCTAAAAATTTGAATGTCTAAGGTAAAAACTTAACACGGATTCATAAGCCACATGTGTAATGTAAAGTGTGGTAATGACGTCATTCTATTGTTGTTGGAAATGGTTATCTAAATTTTGGCTAGCGTTCTACCATCTACAAGATATTCCTAATACTCACACAAAATTTGGCAACAATCGGTACGGTCGTTTCGGAGATTATCTATCTAATAAAAATCTGGACAGACGGCAATCAGATAGACAGACAGACAAACCGACAGATAGACGCAAACGAGTGATCTATTCGTTCGTGCTCTAGGGGTCATGAAACGTCGAAAAACTTAGAATTAGCGAGTCGTCGAATGGACTCAGCTTACTCTCAGGAAATAAAAAAATATAACACACTTTGTATAAAATAAAGCAAACATTAAAATTGTTTTGTAGATTTCACCTTCTAGAAGTGATTTTCTTCATTTCCCCGAAAATTCCTTGCTCCGGGACCATAAACAATCTACATTTTTCGAATCAGAAGTCTGGTTTTCAAAAGCTCAATTTTTCTATACTCTCGTTTTCACGACCCTTTAACAATTTCGGCATAATTTCTTCAAAAATTCTAACCATTTTTTTCAATGGTCCAGATGAAAATTGGTAAATTTTAGGATTTAAAAAAACATTTTTTTGACTAATTTCGAAACTCTAAAGAGGTTTTTTATAGATTTCGACGCCCAGAAGTTGTTTTCTTTTCCATTGTTTTGAAAATTATTTGTAAAATTGTGAAAAGCTCAGTTTTTCAACCCATAGAGATTTTGTCGCAGATTTCGACCTCTGCTCAATTTGTTCGAAAATTCTTACCATTTTTCCAGAATCGCCAACATGAAATATGGAATTTTTTACGATTTTTGAAAAACTAGGATTCTCGAAATTAATATTTCGAAAATTTTACTCCGGAGTCATAAACACGCTATATTTTTCGAATTAGCACGTCGAGATAATAAGAATAATAAGAATAATAATAATAATAATGATAATAATCAGTTTATTTTCCAGAATATTTTTTTAATTTTTTAGACAATTTTGCCAAAAGATTACATTTTTTCGACCACCTAGGAAAATGTCTTAAATTCTTCAAAAAGTCCTACTATTTTTCCGAAATCACCAATATGAAATATGAAACTTTCTAAGATATTTTGAAAATGTGACTTTCAAACCGGTCATGAAACGTCGAAAAACTTAGAATTAGCCAGTTGTCGAATGGACTCGATTACAGTATTTCCTTAGCTTATATAAAAAAATAAAAATATATAATTCACTTTATATAAAATAAATACTTTTGTAGATTTCACCTTCGAGAAGTCATATTTTCAGCTTCATTTCCCCAAAATTCCTGCTATGTTTCCAAAATCGTCCATTTGAAATATGCAATTTTGCGAGTTTTCAAAAATTTTGCCTTTCAAACCAAATATTTTGAAAATCTTGTTCCGGGACCATAAACAATCTCTATTTTTCGAATCAGCACGTTAAAATCTGATTTTCAAAATCTCAAATTTTCTACACTCTCCTTTCCACGACGCTTTCATAATTTCGGCTTAATTTCTTCAAAAATTCTAACCATTTTTTTGAATGGTCCACTGGAGAAGTGATAATTAATAGGATTCTTAAAAAATTCGCTTTACAAAGCGGATATTTTGAAAATCTTCATAAATACCGTATATTTTTCGATTCAGTAAGGCAACTTTTCCAAAAGCTCATCTTTTTAATACTCCCTTATGAAAATTTCGACATTCTTTCGATCACTTCAGAAAATTACCCATAGAGCTTTTTCGCAGAATTCGACTTCCAAAAGCGTTATTTTTTTATCAATTGGTTCGAAAATTCTAAAAAATGGATGTTATGAATTTCTCTGCAACTTTTCTAAAAAGCTCAATTTTTCAATACACCTTTTATGAAAATGTCGACCATTTTTCAACCACCTTCGAAAATTGCCTGGAGATTTTTTTGTCGATTTTAACCTTGCAAAAGTTTTGTCGGCTTAATTTCATAAATACTTCCTATCATGTCAATTTTTAGAATTTTTAGAAAATTTTAATATCAAACTTAATACACATTTCGGAAATGTTGATCCGGAACCTTATTAAACACGCTATATTTTTGAAATCAGCGTGCCTGGATCTATATCACAAATGTCTGTGGATTTTTAGTAAGTTTTTCCAAAAGTTTCAATTTTCAACAAAAAATGCCAAAAATTTTGACATTTTTTTGACTAACTTTGGAACTTACCTAAAAAAATTTTTTGTAGATTTCAACGCCCAGAAGTTGTTTTCGGTTCCGTTTCTTTGAAAATTGCTACCATTTTTCTAGAATCGCCAAAATGAAATACGGCATTTGTTGACATTTTTTAAAAATTTGACTTTCCAGTCGAACTTTTCGAAAATCTTGGTCCGGAATCACAAACACGCTCAATTCTCAAGTCATAATCTGTCTCAAAATTTTTTGTGAACTTTTTGCAAATGCTCAGATTTTCAAGAATGGCTTGTTCAAATTTCGATGTTGTTATATTTTTCCAGAATAGCCAACATGATAAGGCATTTTTTACGATTTTACCAGGATTGTCAAAATTAATACTTCGAGAATTTTACTCCGGGGCCATAAACACGCTATATTTTTCGAATCAGCACGTCAAAATAATAATATTAATAACAATAATATTAATAATAATATTTATAATGATTTTATTTTCCGGAATATTTTCTTGTTTTTTAGACAATTTTTCCAAAAGATTAATTTTTTTACGAAAATCTCGACGTCTTTTCGACCACCTACAAAAATTATTTAAAGAGATTTTTTTGTAGATTTCGAGGCCCAGAAGTTGTTTTCGGTTCTATTTCTTCAAAAATTCCTACCATTTTTCCAAAATCACCAATATGAAATAAGAAACTTTCTAAGGTTTTTTTAAAAATTTTGCCTTTCAAACCGAATATTTTGAAAATCTTCTACTACTTTTTTCGAATCAGCACGGTGAAATCTATTTTTCAAAAGCTCAGTCTTGCATAATTTCGACGAAATTTTTTCAAAAATTCTAACTATTTTTTTTAATGGTCCATTTGAAAACTGATAATTTATAGGATTTTTAAAAAATTTGCTTTTCAACGAGGATATTTTGAAAATCTTTATAAACACCCTATACTTTTCGATTCAGCACGTGGAGATCCATATTCCAAAATTATTTATAGATGAGACAGATTTTTAAGCAAATTTTTCCAAAAGCTCATATTATGAAAATTTCGACATTCTTTAGATCACCTTCGAAAATTACCCATAGAGCTTTTTCGTAGATTTCGACTTCCAAAAGAGTTATTTTCTGTTCAATTTGTTCGAAAATTCGTACCATTTTCCAGATCACCAACAAGAAATATGCCAATTTTTGGATTTTTAAAAAGTTTGATTTTCGAACCGATTATTTCGAAAAATTTGTGTAGAAACCACAAACACGCTATAGTTTTCAAAAGTGGATGTTATGAATTTCTCTACAACTTTTCCAAAAAGCTCAATTTTTCAATACACCCTTCATGAAAATGTCGACCGCTTTTCAACCACCTTCGAAAATTGCCTGGAGATTTTTTTGTCGATTTTAATCTTGCAAAAGTTCTGTAGGCTTAATTTTCCTACCATGTCAATTTTTAGAATTTTTAGAAAATTTTAATATTAAACTTAATACATATTTCGGAAATCTTGATCCGAAACCTTAAACACAAGAGATCTATATCGCAGATTCTTTTGTGGATTCTTAGTAAATTTTTCCAAAAGTGCCAATTTTCAACAAAAAATGTCAAAAATTTCGGCATTTTTTGACTTCGGAACTTACCTAAAGAGATTTTTTTGTATATTTCGACGCCCAGAAGTTATTTTTGGTTCCGTTTCTTTCAAAATTGCAACCATTTTTCTAGAATCGCCAAAATGAAACACGGCACTTTTTAACATTTTTTTTTAATTTGACTTCCAAGTCAAACTTTTAGAAAACCTTACTCTGGAACCATAAACACGCTGTATTTTTCGAATCAGCACGTCGAGATAATAATAATAATAATAATGATAATGATAATAATGAATTTATTTTCCAGAATATTTTCTAGTTTTTTCGACAATTTTTCCAAATAAATTTTGTACGAAAATGTCGACATTTTTCGACCACCTACGAAAACTACTTACAGAAATTTTTTGTAGATTTCGACGCCCAGAAGTTGTTTTCGGTTCTATTTCTTCAAATTCCTACCATTTTTCCGAAATCACCAATGTGAAATATGAAACTTTCTAAGATTTTTTAAAAATGTGACTTTCAAACCGGTGATGAAACGTCGAAACAGTTAGAATTAACACCCAGGAAATAAAAATATATATTTCATTTTATATATAATAAAGCAAACAGTAAATGAAACTACTTGGTTAAAAAAAAAAACGTAAAAATAAAAAAAGTAGTGTCAAAAATATTAATCTACATTGCATTGTTATTTCTGAACGTCTCTATTCATTTTTGATTCCTTGATACTAAAAGAGAATGTATAAAGTTCACGTCCAGCACGCAGGTCTGCATATCAATGCGAACAAGTGGAAATACCACCTAATTTTACTAGTAAACAAGTTTCTTTACAAACCGACCGTGTTCATTCCCTATTATGTTCAACAGCGCGTACAACCATAAGACTAACAAACGTGAAACTGAAAGAAAACGCAACCAAAAATGAAAACTGTGATAGGAAAATTTTCGCAAGGTAACTCACAAGGTGATGAACAAATACAAATCGAAGTGCGCAACTCTGGCAGTGCCACTTCCACAAACTCTAAACGCTCAAAAGGTAAACTGTACGCAAATGTCCCACCTCTTTTAACTTAAAAATAGTTTTCGTTTAAGATTTTCGGATTTTAAATTTTCTGCAAAAGCACACTGCCCTATTATTAGTATGTTTTCTGATTTTAATGATTGTTTTACTACTTGTGACGATCGTCCTTTTGATAATACGTCAAAACAACGTGAGTTCCCAGTGTACTATAGACAATTTCCACCCAAAAGAGACGTCAACGAACCCGACACCACCAGGTGAGCTAGAGTGACTCCACCGAAAACAAGGAAGCGAAAACTCCTATTTTATTCAGTAGGTACATCGTTAGATACCAGTTGGATTACAACAATTCGTCCTCCATCATTCGAACTAGTCTCACGACAGGAATGGTCGGCCGAAACCCCCAAGGCTCCACCACCACACCTGCAAACCCCAGTTCCTTACGTACTGATCCTTCACACGGGCACTGAAAACTGTTACTCTCCTAAACAATGTGTCCAAGGTGTTCGACTGATTCAGACTTTCCACATGGAAAACCAAAACTGGGAAGATATCGGCTACAATTTTCTTTCTGGGGGTGATGGCAGAGCTTACGAAGGACGAGGCTGGAAAAATAGGGGTCCTGAAACATACGGTTATCCTGATAAAAGCGTACGAATTGCTTTCACTGGGATTTTCAACACGACGATACCATCGGATCGGCAATTAACAGCTTGCAAAAACTTGATCAAAAAAGGAGTGGAAAAAGGGTACATTAATAAAGATTATAAACTCATTGCTGCGGCACACTTGCAAAAAATACGCGTTGAGGAGAGTCAAACGAAGACGTTGTATGAAGAACTGAAATCTTGGGAGCACTGGACCAACCCTGAAGAGCTGTACATGTTTAAATAGTTGGACGATTTTTTTTATAACTAATTTAATAATTTATTTGTTTACATCGTTTTATTATATTTATTTATAATAGCGTCAACCGCTTACCGAGTGCGACAGCAAAAATTCCTGGACACAAAAACCCAAGGAAATAAATAACACACATCAGCACGCCTTGCATGAATATGCAATAACATTTATGACTCAGTCAGTCCACGAACTACTCGGAAAAATGTGTTTCATAAAAAAACTAGGCTATAAAATCTAACTAGTCTACTGGTACATACATTTACAAACAATTTTGTTACTGTGAATAATCTTACTATTTATATTTCGTTGCAGTTATAAATTTATAAAATATATACCTACTTTTTTTAATGTCTGGCGTATTTATAGCATTATTTCAACTAACGCAAAATTGAAAATTTAAAAACAAATAAAAAATCAAAACAAACCAGCAGAGCCGTATCGATGGGCGGTGTGGGGAGGACAATGTCCACAGAATTAACAAATATTGGTGAAAAGTTATTTCCACAGAACTTCCCTCGCCAGTGAAAAATTATAAAATTTGATTTTGCGGAATTTTACTCTTTCGTGGTAACCTCTATGGAATAAGTACAGTATAGAAGGTACTAGCCACAGTGTAATATAAAAAAAGTTTTCACCTTCCTAAAAAAAGGCAGTTGGGATTCCCGAGAAGAAGTAATATTAATAAAAAAGACACCTGGGACCCCCGAAAAAGTTTCGCCTTCTTTAAGAAAGGACAGTTGACAACCCCGAGAAGGTTTCACATTCTTAAAAAAAGACATTTCAGGCCCCTGAGAAGGTTTCATATTCTTAAAAAAAGGCAATTGAGACCCTCGAGAAGGTTCCACATTCTTAAAAAAAGACATTTGGTGCCCTCAGAAGGTTTTACATTTTTAAAAAAGACAGGTGGGACCCCCGAGAAGGTTTCACATTAAAAACAAAGACATTTGCTGCCCCCGAGAAGATTTTACATTTTTAAAAAAGGCAGTTGGGACCCTCGAGAAGGTTTCACTTAAAACAAAGACATTTGGGGCCCCTGAGAGGTTTTACATTTTTAAAAAACACAGTTGGGACCCCCGAGAAGGTTTCATATTAAAAAAAAAGAGATTTGAGGCCCCCGAGAAGGTTTCAATTTAAAACAAAAAGACATTTGGCGTTCCCGAGAAGGTTTAACATTTATAAAAAAGGCAGTTGGGACCCCCTAGAAGGTTTCACATAAAAAAAAAAGAAATTTGGGGCCCCTAGAAGCTTTCACATTAAAAAAAAAATTTGAGGCCCCCGAGAAGGTTTTACATTTTTAAAAAACACAGTTAGAACCCCCGAGAAGGTTGTACATTTCTAAAAAAGACAATTGGGACCCCCGAGAAGCTTTCACATTAAAAAAAAAGATTTGAAGCCCCCGAGAAGGTTTTACATTTTTATAAAAGACAGTTGGAACCCCCGAGAAGGTTATACATTTCTAAAAAAAGAGATTTGAGGCTCCGAGAAGGTTTGACATTAAAAAAAAAACAATTGGGACCACCGAGAGGGTTTCACATTTTTAGAAAGCCAGTGGGGACCCCGAGAAGAGTTCGCATTAAAAAAAAAGACACTTGGGACCCCCGAGAAGGTTTGACATTTTTAAAAAAGCCACTTGGGACCCCCGAGAAGGTTTCATATTAAAAAAAAGACATTAGGCTTCCTCGAGAAGGTTTCACATTTTTAAAAAAGACAGTTGGGACACCCGAGAAGGTTTCATTTTAAAATAAAAAGACATTTTGCGTTCCCGAGAAGCTTTAACATTTTTAAAAAAGGCAGTTAGGACCTCCGAGAAGGTTTCACATAAAAAAAATACATTTGGGGCCCCCGAGGAGGTTTTACATTTTTAGAAAACACAGTTGGGACCCCCAACAAGCTTTCACATTAAAAAAAAAAGATTTGAGGCCGCCGAGAAGGCTCTGCATTTTTAAAAAAGATAGTTGGAACCCGCGAGAAGGTTATACATTTCTAAAAAGACAGTTGGGACCCCCGAGAAGGTTTCATATTAAAAAAAAAGAGATTTGAGGCCCCCGAGAAGGTTTACATTTTTAAAAAAGACAATTGGGACCCCACGAGAAGGGTTCACATTAAAACAAAAAGAGATTTGGCATTCCCGAGAAGGTTTTACATTTTTAAAAAAAGCAGTTGGGATCCCCGGGAAGGTTTCATAAAAAAAAAGACATTTGGGGCCCCCGAGAAGGTTTTACATTTTTAAAAAACACAGTTGAGACTACCGAGAGGCTTTCACATTAAAAAAAAAAGATTTGAGGCCCCCGAGAAGGTTTTACATTTTTAAAAAAGACAGTTGGAACCTCTGAGAAGGTTATACATTTCTAAAAAAGACAGTTGGGTCCCACGAGAAGGTTTCACATTAAAAATAAAAGAGATTTGATGCTCTTAGAAGGTTTGACATTTTTAAAAAAGACAGTGGCAGTCCCGAGAAGAGTTTGCGTTAAAAAAAGACACTTGGGGCCCCTGAAAAGGTTTTAACATTTTTAGAAAAGTCACTTGGGACCTCCGAGAAGGTTTCACATTAAAACAAAAAGAGATTTGGCGTTCCCGAGAAGGGTTCACATTTTTAAAAAAGGCAGTTGGGACCCCCGAGAAGGTTTCACATTAAAACAAAAAAACATTTGGGGGTCCCTCGAAGCTTTCACATTAAAAAAAAAGATTTGAAGCCCCCGAGAAGCTTTTACATTTTTAAAAAAGACAGTTGGAACCCCCGAGAGGGTTATACATTTCTAAAAAAAGAGATTTGAGGCTCCGAGAAGGTTATACATTTCTAAAAAAAATAGTTGGGTCCCCCGAGAAAGTTTCACATTAAAAAAAAGAGATTTGAGACTCCGAGAAGGTTTGACATTTCAAAAAAAAACAGTTGGAACCACCGAGAAGGTTTCACATTTTAAAAAAAGACAGTGGCAGTCCGGAGAAGAGTTCACATTAAAAAAAAAAACACTTGGGGCCCCCGAGAAGGTTTTACATTTTTAAAAAAGCCACTTGGGACCCCCAAGAAGGTTTCACATTAAAAAAAAGACATTTGGCTTCCCCGTGGTTTCACATTTTTAAAAAAGACAGTTCGGTCCCACGAGAAGGTTTCACATTAAAAATAAAAGAGATTTGAGGCTCTGAGAAGGTTTAACATTTAAAAAAAGAAACAGTTGGGACCACCGAGAAGGTTTCACATTTTTAAAAAAGACAGTGGCAGTCCCGAGAAGAGTTCGCATTAAAAAAAAGACACTTGGGGTCCCCGAGAAGGTTTTACATTTTTAAAAAAGCCACGTGGGACCCCCGAGAAGGTTTCACATTAAAAAAAAGACATTTAGCTTCCCAGTGGTTTCACATTTTTAAAAAAGACAGTTGGGACCCCCGAGAAGGTTTCATATTAAAAAAAAGGAGATTTGAGGCCCCCGAGAAGGTTTACATTTTTAAAAAAGACCACTGGGACCCCTCGAGAAGGTTTCACATTAAAACAAAAAGACATTTAGCGTTCCCGAGAAGGTTTTACATTTTTAAAAAAGGCAGTTAGGACCTCCGAGAAGGTTTCACATAAAAAAAATACATTTGGGGCCCCCGAGAATGTTTTACATTTTTAGAAAACACAGTTGGGACCCCCGAGAAGCTTTCGCATAAAAAAAAGGTTTGAGGCCCCGAGAAGGTTTTACATTCTAAAAAGAGACAGTTGAAACCCCCGAGAAGGTTATACATTTCTAAAAAGACACTTGGGGCCCCCGAAAAGGTTTTACATTTTTAAAAAACACAGTTGGGACCCCCGAGAAGGTTTCGCATTAAAAAAAAAGAAATCTGAGGCCCCCGAGAAGGTTTACATTTTTAAAAAAGACAATTGGGACCCCCGAGGAGGTTTCACAAAAAAAAAAACATTTGGCTTTCCCGAGAAGGTTTCACATTTTTAAAAAAGACAGTTGAGACTCCGAGAAGAATTCGCAATATAAAAGACAGTTGGGACCCCAAGAAGGTGTCGCATTAAAAAAAAAACACTTGGGGCCCTCGAGAAGGTTTGACATTTTTAAAAAAGTACAGTTGAGACCCCGAGAAGGTTTCACATTAAAAAAAAGACATTTAGCTTCCCAGTGGTTTCACATTTTTAAAAAAGACAGTTGGAACCCCCGAGAAGGTTTCACATTAAAAAAAAGACATTTGGTGCCCCCGAAAATGTTTTACGTTAAAAAAAAACAGGTGTGACCCCCGAGAATGCTGTACATTAAAAAAAAAAGAGATTTGGTGCTCCCGAGGTTTTACATTTTTAAAAAGATAGTGCCCCCCGAGAAGGTTTCACATTAAAAAAAAGGTATTTGGGACCCCCAAGACGGTTTCACATTCTTAAAAAGAAATACATTTGGGGCCCCCGAAAAGTTTTAATGTTCCAACATTACAACAGTACCTTGTAAAATTTTACAACCGCTACTGTGAGGGATTGTCGGACAATGCAGGACCAATTAAAGGAGCGTGCCGCCAGTGTACAATGGGCTAGAAACATGCAGGGTTCCAAGGAATTTGTGATTTATGGTTTAATGGGTCCACTCTTGATGGTTAAAACTTTGAAATACCAATAAAATTTTAGTAGGTACTGTTCAAATGGTGGAAATCTACATTTAAATAAAGATGAGCTTTTTCGAGAAAGTGAGGTAATTTCATCTTTTTTTTGTCATAAATGTAGGTAATACACAATGCGAGAGAAAAATAGGAAAAAAAAATAAATTCTTTAAAATGACATCAAATTGTTGGTGGAGTAGGTTAGCAAAATTTTGATTAGCATTTAACCATCTACATGATATTTCTAACATACATACAAAATTTGGCAACAATCGGTTTAGCAAACTCGATTACTATACTTCCTTAACTTACTCTGCGGACGTAAAAAATGTAAAATATCAAAATTAGAGTGCTGTGAATGTGGTATTTTGGCAAAAGTAACAAATGATGAGGTCTCAATTTCCTCAACGTTTTTAATCGATAGCACTGATTTAATTACAGTCATACAGAATAAGATTAGCTGTTTTTTAAAAAAGGCCGAAGTAGTTACGGTCCAATTACTTAGTAAGAAGTTTTTGAAAATGCCATTTTAGTAAGAAATCACATAGTTGAACACGACCACTTAATATCGCTTGGGCCTCACCAACCGAAATTGTTGAATCCCTGATTGATAATCCCAAAAGAAAGAAAATTTGTACTCTTCACAGAGGTTTCGAAACTGTCCACATTTAGAATACAGTGTATTTAAAGATTCCGTTTTTTTGTTTTGTTTGCATGCTTTTTCCTAATAATCTTGCTGAGTGGTTAATGGTATTACGAAGTGGAATAAAATGAAAATCGTTGGTATCAAAACTTGCGCAAAATTTTTCGTCAGGAGCTCAGAAAAAAATATGAAATAATAAAATAGACTAGTCACATTTACCAGTCTAGTTGTATAGTGTATAGGGTGTCTCTGATTACTAAGAATATCTCAAAAAGAACATATTTAAAGTTAATAAGTAGTATTATTTAACCACTCGCTTCTTTTCTTTTCTTAATATATCCACATCGTTATTTCTTGTAGAGAAATAAGAATTTTGCAAATAAGCTCCGACCCCACGCTAGCGACTAATAAAAAAATTCACCACAATAGAAATGGGGGGCTTTTTTTCCTTAACATACGTATAATGATTTTTTCGCAACAACAAACTTAAGACATGTTTAAAATGGAAATTTTTGTAGAGACATACGGATTTTATTGATGAGATGCATAAGCCCCACCCACCCACCCCATCTCATTTGTGATGAATTTTTTTATTCGTAGTGAGACCGGGGGGCAAAGCTTATCCGCAAAGTCTATATTTCTGTACAAGGAAGAATGGAATGAAACATGTTTGAAGTACTATCCTATTGTTTTGAGAAAAAATAGGGAACGAAGAAATGAAAAACTTTACAAAAATAAAACTTTACGAAATTTTGCATAACAGCGCCAATAAATAGATTAAGCAAGAAATATGTGCAATTTAATTGGAACGTGGAATGTCAAAACTCTTTTAAAACATTGAAAAAGGGGGATAAGTTTTGATTAGCGACTTGCCACGCTTACGACAATGTTAAAACGAAAGCAAAATTTCGAAGCAGTCAGCAATTTTGATTTTTTTTTCCTAAAACTTAGATCTCTAAGGTGAAGAAAAATAATGATGTATCAATAAATCGCAAGTATGACAGTGTATTATTTTGTAAAGTGTAAATAGAATTAGAACTTTAAAAAATAACACTGTTTACTTACTCTGGAAGAAATTTATTTAAAAAGCATTTGTTCAATTGCTCCACTAAGAATACCTCCATTCTTTAAGTACGTGTTAAGTCAAATGCGTGTTAATTATAAACTGCAAACTTGACACACGATTGTGTATTTCACAATGTAATTCCCCCTGAAATGAAGCGAAAATCAAGGTTAACATCTCCATCTTCCCACCGACTGCATTTCGTCTCATGTTCTTAAACCAAGCAAGTGTATTTAGAGGCGCGAGCAGAAAAATCAAAATTTTGGTATTCATGAGATAATAAAATGGCAATAGGTGTAGTTCCGGGGTCGTCAACCGCGCATAATAACAATGACAGTGAAAGCGAAAGTTGTAAACCATCTAAAACTTGGCAAAATTTAAAAGGTAAACACAATTATTATCATTTTTGTACCATACTTAAATAATTGTCTTTTTTAGATACACGAATGTCAAATTTTCTGTTAAAACATATTGTTAGTGTGTTAATATGTGCCCTGGGTCTAATGATGATTTTAATTACTATATTCATAATTATTCTGTCGGTGAGGGACAATACAACTTCAAAAAGTACAAACGTCGCAGCTGAAGATTCCATGTTAGTTGACGACTCCGGAATGAATAGTAAGTTCAAATTTAAGCTATTATTTTCTGAAGCTGTTATACTGCTCAAGACAAAATAAAACACAAACAGGAAAAAATGTATTTTCGCTGTAGATTCTACACGAAAAACAACAATAGTTACAAGGTTGTCCAGTCCGCCAGCGGTGATGATTAGAGAGCGGATTTATATATAAGCACAAAAAATTAAGAATAAGCGCTTAAATAAGCACAACATTTTCAATAAAAAAGTTTATTTTAAGGAAAAAATCATTAAAAACATAATCATATTACAAATCAAAGAACACTTCTTAGAACTTTGGATAAAATATTATTACAATAATCCTAGACTTTATATTTACACACGTATTTCAGTTTTCTTTAAAACAATTTATGATTGTAATATGTTCCAAGTTGTCCACTGTAAAATTTTTTCGCCGATCATTTAAAATGTGTTTAAAATTGGAGAATGTGCGTTCAACGTCCACACTCGTTGTTGGCGCAAATTTGAATTTTGCAACTAATGTTGAATCTAACTCCAAATTTTCCACCTTCTGGCCTTGTAAAACACGAGCAACGTCGGAAAGAACACCGAAACCTGCATTTTTATTTAACACTTCGTCAAGTTTTTGAGATACTCTAGTACCAATATCGCCCCTTACTGCGTTTGCTTGTTGTTTAAATTCTTTCACTAAGTTTATGGCATCTACCAACAACATGTTGGGTTTTTCTAACTTTTCTATTACCTCACATACGAATTGATAATTGCTTCTTAGAAAAGCTAGATCTTGTCGCAAATCTTTGTTTTCCAAAATATTTATGCAATCTTTAATCGATTGAGAAGAATCTTCGCTAAACTCCGTAACTACTTCCTCAAATTCTTTGATATATTTGTCATAATAAAATGTGGCCTGTAACCATGTTCCCCACCTCGTTATAATCGGCTCTGGGGGCAATGGTATGTTTGGAAAATTTTCCTTAAAATGTTGCACTTTTAGTGAGGCGTTAACAAAAATCTTTTTACCATTTGCCACTAATTTATTAACAGTAGGAAACTGCAAACGTATTCCTTCAGCCACTCTGTTTAAACCGTGGGCAATGCAAGTAGAGTGAATTAAATTGGGGTACAATATTTTTAGATTATTCCCTGCTTTCAACATATAACGAGCTGCATCCGAGATCATCAATAAAATTTTATTTGGCAAAAATAGTGACGTAAGACTGTCATTTAAAAATCTGGTAATCGTACTGCCATTTGTTTTATCTAACATTTTCAAACTTACTACATACCCTCGACTAGGGAAATTTTCATTTAAGATTCCAACAATTAAACTTGCCACGTATCTTCCACAACTATCGGTTGTGTCATCGGCAGCGAACCATGAATAATTATCTCCAATGCGATGTTTAATTTCGTTGTAAACTTGCTGAAACACTGGGCCTACATAATTTTTTCGGAGAGTACTTTCAACCGGAATATGTCAATTGCAGTGTTTTTCAAGGAATTCTTGAAGAGGGCCTTTCTCCAATTTTTTTAAAGGTATATTGGACTGGATCATCATTTTACATAAATCGAAATTAAACTGAAACTGCTCATCTTTTGTGGAAGTAGATGCAACAGATTCATGTATGGTCTGCTGTTTAATTTTAGAAACTTCAAACATTTTCTTCCGTTGTACATGAAGAGTCGTTCTGACATGTTGCGTCACGTTAGATTTTTTATCACTTTGAATCTAAAACAACGTACATATACAGGATTAACAAAAGAAAATAGATAAAAAAAAATTAGTGGGCTTACGGTTTTCACACAAGCTCTGCAGAATATTTTGTTGTTTTCTAATTTTAATTCTGGAAAGTCCCTTATCCACTCATCCGGCGTCGATTTTACTTTCGGCATTCTTTTAAAATATTAGTAATATTACCAAAAAGAACCACGTGTAACACTGTACTACAACAGATGCGATAGACTGATGGTTGTGAAATAAACGGTGCATTTACTTAAAAGTTTCCATTAGAAAAATTTTAAGGTAGGTAGTTGGGTATAATAATCCTTTTTTCTAGAAAATCTTCAACGGTCTTGCCGCAAAATGCCGAAAAAGAACATCTGGTTAAAGCTTTAATTCATTATCAAGCGAAGTAAGGATTTAAAGCCATAAAATGTATGGAGTATTTTTCCAATCCTATAATAAAATTTTATTACCCAAACGACCGGAACCTATTCGCAGAAAGGGTCTTGAGTAAGTGTACTTCAATGGTCAAGTCCAGGTAAAATGCATACGATACGATACGGCTAACTAACAAGTATTTGTCATCCCGACAAAGCCATTCATTTTTGATTCCTTGATACTAAAAGAGAATGTATAAAGTTCACGTCCAGCACGCAGGTCTGCATATCAATGCGAACAAGTGGAAACACCACCTAATTTTACTAGTAAACAAGTTTCTTTACAAACCGACCGTGTTCATTCCCTCATTATGTTCAACATCGCGTACAACCATAAGTCTAACAAACGTGAAACTGAAAGAAAATGCAACCAAAAATGAAAACTATGATAGGAAAATTTTCACAAGGTAACACACAAGATGATGAACGAATACAAATCGAAGTGCGCAACTCTGGCAGTGCCACTTCCACAAACTCTAAACGTTCAAAAGGTAAACTGTACGCAAATATCCTACCTGTTTTAACTTAAAAATAGTTTTCGTTTAAGATTTTCGCATTTTAAATTTTCTGCAAAAGCACACTGCCCTATTATTAGTATGTTTTCTGATTTTGATGATGGTTTTACTACTTGTGGCGATCGTCCTTTTGATAATACGTCAAAACAACGTGAGTTCCCAGTGTACTATAGAGAATTTCCACCCAAAAGAGACGTCAACGAACCCGACATCACCAGGTGAGCTAGAGTGACTCCACCGAAAACAAGCTAGCGAAAACTAGTATTTTGTTCAGTAGGTCCACCATCAGAAACCAGTGGATTAACAACTTCTCGTCCTGGATCATTCGAACTAGTCTCACGACAGGAATGGTCGGCCGAAACCCCCAAGGCTCCACCAGCACACCTGCAAACCCCAGTTCCTTACGTACTGATCCTTCACACGGGCACTGAAAACTGTTACACTCCTAAACAATGTGTCCAACGTGTTCGACTGATTCAGACTTTCCACATGGAAAACCAAAACTGGGAAGATATCGGCTACAATTTTCTTTCTGGGGGTGATGGCAGAGCTTACGAAGGACGAGGCTGGAAAAATAGGGGCCCTGAAACATACGGTTATCCTGATGAAAGCGTACGAATTGCTTTCACTGGGATTTTCAACACAACCATACCATCGGATCGGCAATTAACAGCTTGCAAAAACTTGATCAAAAAAGGAGTTGAAAAAGGGTACATTAATAAAGATTATAAACTCATAGCTGCAGCACACTTGCAAAAAATACACGCTGAGGAGAGTCAAACGAAGACGTTGTATGATGAACTGAAATCTTGGGAGCACTGGACCAACCCAGAAGAGCTGTACATGTTTAAAAATGTCGAGAGCTCAAACTAAACCGTGATTTAAGCGGACGAAAGACTCGACGATTTTTTTTATAACTAATTTAATAATTTATTTGTTTACATCGTTTTATTATATTTTATAATAGCGTCAACCGCTTACCGAGTGCGACAGCAAAAATGCCTGGACACAAAAACCCAAGGAAATAAACAACACACATCAGCACGCCTTGCATGAATATGCAATAACATTTATGACTCAGTCAGTCCACGAACTACTCGGAAAAATGTGTTTCATAAAAAAACTAGGCTATAAAATCTAACTAGTCTACTGGTACATACATTTACAAACAATTTTGTTACTGTGAATAATCTTACTATTTATATTTCGTTGCAGTTATAAATTTATAAAATATATACCTACTTTTTTTAATGTCTGGCGTATTTATAGCATTATTTCAACTAACGCAAAATTGAAAATTTAAAAACAAATAAAAAATCAAAACAAACCAGCAGAGCCGTATCGATGGGCGGTGTGGGGAGAATAATGTCCACAGAATTAACAAATATTGGTGAAAAGTTATTTCCACAGAACATTCCTCGCCAGTGAAAAATTATAAAATTTTATTTTGCGGAATTTTACTCTTTCGTGGTAACCTCTATGGAATAAGTACAGTATAGAAGGTATTAGCCACAGTGTAATATAAAAAAAGTTTTCACCTTCCTAAAAAAAGGCAGTTGGGATTCCCGAGAAGAAGTAATATTAATAAAAAAGACACCTGGGACCCCCGAAAAGGTTTCGCCTTCTTTAAGAAAGGACAGTTGACAACCTCGAGAAGGTTTCACATTCTTAAAAAAAGACATTTCGGGCCCCTGAGAAGGTTTAATATTTCTTAAAAAAAGACAATTGAGACCCTCGAGAAGGTTCCACATTCTTAAAAAAAGACATTTGGTGCCCCCAGAAGGTTTTACATTTTTAAAAAAGACAGTTGGGACCCCCGAGAAGGTTTCACCTTAAAAACAAAGACATTTGGCGCCCCCGAGAAGGTTTTACATTTTTAAAAAAGGCAGTTGGGACCCTCGAGAAGGTTTCACATAAAAAAAAGACATTTGGGGCCCCTGAGAAGGTTTTACATTTTTAAAAAACACAGTTGGGACCCCCGAGAAGGTTTCATATTAAAAAAAAAAAGAGATTTGAGGCCCCCGAGAAGGTTTCAATTTAAAACAAAAAGACATTTGGCGTTCCCGAGAAGGTTTAACATTTATAAAAAAGGCAGTTGGGACCCCCGAGAAGGTTTCACATAAAAAAAGAAATTTGGGGCCCCTAGAAGCTTTCACATTAAAAAAAAAAATTTGAGGCCCCCGAGAAGGTTTTACATTTTTAAAAAACACAGATAGAACCCCCGAGAAGGTTGTACATTTCTAAAAAAGACAATTGGGACCCCCGAGAAGCTTTCACATTAAAAAAAAAGATTTGAAGCCCCCGAGAAGGTTTTACATTTTTAAAAAAGACAGTTGGAACCCCCGAGAAGGTTATACATTTCTAAAAAAAGAGATTTGAGGCTCCGAGAAGGTTTGACATTAAAAAAAAAACAATTGGGACCACCGAGAGGGTTTCACATTTTTAAAAAGCCAGTGGGGACCCCGAGAAGAGTTCGCATTAAAAAAAAGACACTTGGGGCCCCCGAGAAGGTTTTACATTTTTAAAAAAGCCACTTGGGACTCCCGAGAAGGTTTCATATTAAAAAAAGACATTAGGCTTCCTCGAGAAGGTTTCACATTTTTAAAAAAGACAGTTGGAACCCCGGAGAAGGTTTCATTTTAAAATAAAAAGACATTTTGCGTTCCCGAGAAGCTTTAACATTTTTAAAAAAGGCAGTTAGGACCTCCGAGAAGGTTTCACATAAAAAAAATACATTTGGAGCCCCCGAGGAGGTTTTACATTTTTAGAAAACACAGTTGGGACCCCCAACAAGCTTTCACATTAAAAAAAAAAGATTTGAGGCCGCCGAGAAGGCTTTACATTTTTAAAAAAGATAGTTGGAACCCTCGAGAAGGTTATACATTTCTAAAAAGACAGTTGGGACCCCCGAGAAGGTTTCATATTAAAAAAAAGAGATTTGAGGCCCCCGAGAAGGTTTACATTTTTAAAAAAGACAATTGGGACCCCCCGAGAAGGTTTCACATTAAAACAAAAAGAGATTTGGCATTCCCGAGAAGGTTTTACATTAAAAAAAAAGCAGTTGGGATCCCCGGGAAAGTTTCATAAAAAAAAAGACATTTGGGGCCCCCGAGAAGGTTTTACATTTTTTAAAAAAGACAGTTGGAACCTCTGAGAAGGTTATACATTTCTAAAAAAGACAGTTGGGTCCCACGAGAAGGTTTCACATTAAAAATAAAAGAGATTTGATGCTCTGAGAAGGTTTGACATTTTTAAAAAAGACAGTGGCAGTCCTGAGAAGAGTTCGCGTTAAAAAAAAGACACTTGGGGCCCCCGAAAAGGTTTTAACATTTTTAGAAAAGTCACTTGGGACCTCCGAGAAAGTTTCACATTAAAACAAAAAGAGATTTGGCGTTCCCGAGAAGGTTTAACATTTTTAAAAAAGACAGTTGGGACCCCCGAGAAGGTTTCATATTAAAAAAAAGAGATTTGAGGCCCCCGAGAAGGTTTTACATTTTTAAAAAAGACAGTTGGGACCCACGGGAGGATTTCAAAATAAAAAAAGACATTGAGAAGGTTTTACATTTTTAAAAAAGGCAGTTGGGACCCCCGAGAAAGTTCTACATAAAAAAAAACATTTGGGACCCCCGAGAAGGTTTTACATTTTTAAAAACACAATCGGGACCCCCGGGAAGGTTTCACATTAAGAAAAGAGATTTGAGGCCCCCGGGAAGGTTTTACATTTTTAAAAAAGACAGTTGGGACCCCCGAGAAGGTTTCACAATAAAAAAAAAGACATTTCGCGTTCCCGAGGTTTTACATTTTTAAAAAAGGCAGTTGGGAAACTCTAGAAAGTTTTACATAAAAAAAGACAGTTAGGACCCCCGAGAAGGTGTTACATTTTTAAAAACACACAGTTGGAACCCCCGAGAAGGTTTCACATTAGAAAAAAGAGATTTGAGGCCCCGAGAAGGTTTTAAATTTTTAAAAAAGACAGTTTGAACCCCCGAGAAGGTTTCACAATAAAAAAAAGAGGTTTGAGGCTCCGAGAAGGTTTGAGATTTTTAAAAAAGACAATTGGGACCCCCGAGAAGGTTTCACATTAAAAAAAAGTCATTTGGCGTCCCCGAGACGGTTTTACATTTTTAAAAGAGACAGTTGGGACCCCGAGAAGGTTTCGCATTAAAAAAAAAAAAACATTTGGGACCCCCGAGAAGACTTTCCATTTTTAAAAAAAGACAGTTGAGACTCCCGAGAAGGTTATACATTTAACGAAAAACAGTTGAGACCCCCGAGAAGTTTAGACATTTAAAAAAAACACAGTTGGGACCCCCGAGAAGGTTTCACATTAAAAAAAAAAGGATCTGAGGCCTCCGAGAAGGTTTACATTTTTAAGAAAGACAGTTGGGACCCCCGAGAAAGTTTCACATTAAAAAAAAAGACATTTGACGTTTCCGAGAAGGTTTTACATTTTTAAAAAAGGCAGTTGGGACCCCCGGGAAAGGTTGAGATTCTGAAAAAAAGACAGTTGGGTTTCACATTAAAATAAAAAGATTTCAGACCCCCGAGAAAACTTTACATTTTTAAAAGACAGCTCGGAGAAGGTTTAACGTTCTTAAAAAAAGACACTTGGGACCCCCGAGTAGGTTTCACATTAAAAAAAACCATTTGGGACCCCGGGAAGGTTGTGTAGAGACCATAGACACGCTATAGTTTTAAAAAATGGATGTTATGAATTTCTCTGCAACTTTTCCAAAAAGCTCAATTTTTCAATACACCCTTTATGAAAATGTTGATCAGTTTTCAACCACCTTTGAAAATTGCCTGGAAATTTTTTTGACAATTTTAACCTTACTAAAGTTTTGTCGGGTTAATTTCATAAAGAGTTTCTACCATGTCAAATTTTAAAATTTTAAAAAAATTTAATATCAAACTTAATCATATTTCGAAAATCTTGAACCGGAACCTGAAATTTAGATCTAGATCGCAGATTTTGTGTGGATTTTTAGTATATTTTTCCAAAAGTTCCAATTTTCAACAATAAATGTCAAAAGTTTCGACTTTTTCCAAAAGTTGTTTTAGATTCCATTTCTTTGAAAATTGCTACCATTTTTCCAAAATCGCAAACATGAATATGACATTTTCTACGATTTTTAAAAAACTGGAATTGTCGAAGTTAATATTTCGATATTATTATATACACGGTACATTTTTCGAATCAGCACGTCGAGATACAAATAATAATAATAATAATAATAATAATAATAATGAGTTTATTTTCCAGAATATTTTCTTGTTTTTTTTGACAATTTATCTAAAAAATTAAATTTTGTACGACCACCTGAGAAAATTACTTAAGAGATTTTTTTGCGGATTTTTACGCCCAGAAGTTGTTTTCGGTTCTATTTCTTCAAAAATTTCTGCCGTTTGTCCGAAATCACCAACATGAAATATGAAACTTTCTAAGATTTTTTAAAAATATGAGTTTCAAACCGGTTGTAAAACGTCGAAAAACTTAGAATTAGCCAGGATTTGTTTAGCTCACACTCAGGAAATAAAAATATATAATTCACTTTATATAAAATAAAGCAAACAGTAAATTAAACTACCCTACAGCTCGGAGAAGGTTTAACGTTCTTAAAAAAAGACACTTGGGACCCCCGAGTAGGTTTCACATTAAAAAAAACCATTTGGGACCCCGGGAAGGTTGTGCATTAAAAAAAACAGTTGAGACCCCCGAGAAGGTTAGACATTTAAAAAAACACAGTTGGGACCCCCGAGAAAGTTTCACATTAAAAAAAAAGACAGTTAGACCCCCAAGAGGAAGTTGGCGTTTCCGAGAAGGTTTTCCATTTTTGAAAAACACAGTTGGGACCCCCGAGAAGGTTTCGTATTCTTAAAAATGGCATTTGGCGCCTCCGAGGAGGTATTACATTTTTAAAAGAGACAGTTGGGTCCCCCGAGAAGGTTATAAATTTTTGAAAAGACAGTTGTGAGTGTTGAGACCCTCGAGAAGATTTCACATACTTAAAAAAAGACAGTTGGAACTACCGAGTAGGTTTCACAAAAAAGAAACATTTGGGACCACCAAGAAGACTTTACATTTTTAAAAAAGACAGTTGAGACCCCCGAGAAGGTTAATCATTAAAAAAAAACAGTTGAGACCCCAGAGAAGGTTAGACATTTTTAAAAAAAGACAGTTGGGACTCCCGAGAAAGTTCCACATTCTTAAAAGAAAAATACATTTGGGGGCCCCGAAAAGGTTTTACATTCTTATAAAAAGACAGTTGGAACCCCTGAGAAGGTTTCACATTCTTAAAAAAAAGACTCTTGGGGCCCCCAAGGGGGTTTTACATTTTTAAAAAAGACAGTTAGGACCCCCGAGAAGGTTTCACATTAAACAAAAAGAGATTTGAGGCTCCGGGAAGGTTTTAATCTTCCAACATTACAACAGTACGTTGTAAAATTTTACAACCGCTACTGTGAGGGATTGTCGGAAAATGCAGGGCCAATAAAAGGAGCGTGCCGTCAGTGTACAGTGGGCTAGAAACATGCAAGGTTCCAAGGAATTTGTGATTTATGGTTTTGTGGGTCCAACCTTGATTGTTAACTTTGAAATACCAATAAAATTTTAGTAGGTACTGTTGAAATGGTAGAACTCTACATTTAAATATAGATGAGCCTTTTGGAGAAAGTGAGGTAATTTCATCTTTTTTTTTTGTCATAAATGTAGGTAATACACAATGCGAGAGAAAAATAGGAAAAAAAAATAAAAAACCAAGAGGCAAGTTTGGAATCGAACCCGCGATGTCCGGCCCGCCTTCTTGGCTTGTAACCACTAGACTACCACCGGGTTGCCTTACGCTAATGGTAAACTGTTCTTACACCGTGCATCATGTTTTTGCAAATATTTCGACGTTTAGGGAAAAACTCAAAGTGGATTCATACACCACACTAATACGACTATATTGTTGTATAACAGCTAAATCAAATAAACATCAAATTCTTTAAAATGACATCAAATTGTTGGTGGAGATGATTAGCAAAATTTTGATTAGCATTTAACCATCTACATGATATTTCTAACATACATACAAAATTTGGCAACAATCGGTTTAGCAAACTCGATTACTATACTTCCTTAACTTACTCTGCGGACGTAAAAAATGTAAAATATCAAAATTAGAGTGCTGTGAATGTGGTATTTTGGCAAAAGTAACAAATGATGAGGTCTCAATTTCCTCAACGTTTTTAATCGATAGCACTGATTTAATTACAGTCATACAGAATAAGATTAGCTGTTTTTTAAAAAAGGCCGAAGTAGTTACGGTCCAATTACTTAGTAAGAAGTTTTTGAAAATGCCATTTTAGTAAGAAATCACATAGTTGAACACGACCACTTAATATCGCTTGGGCCTCGCCAACCGAAATTGTTGAATCCCTGATTGATAACACAATTAATCCCAAAACAAACAAAATTTGTACTCTTCACAGAGGTTTCGAAACTGTCCCCATTTAGAATACAGTGTATTTAAAGATTTCGTTTTTTTTGTTTTGTTTGCATGCTTTTTCCTAATAATCTTGCTGAGTGGTTAATGGTATTACGAAGTGGAATAAAATGAAAATCGTTGGTATCAAAACTCAAGGAAAACTTGCGCAAAATTTTTCGTCAGGAGCTCAGAAAAAAATATGAAATAATAAAATAGACTAGTCACATTTACCAGTCTAGTGGTATAGTGTATAGGGTGTCTCTGATTACTAAGAATATCTCAGAAAGAACATATTTAAAGTTAATAAGTAGTATTATCTAACCACTCGCTTCTTTTCTTTTCTTAATATATCCACATCGTTATTTCTTGTAGAGAAATAAGAATTTTGCAAATAAGCTCCGACCCCATGCTAGCGACTAATAAAAAAATTCACCACAATAGAAATGGGGGGCTTTTTTTCCTTAACATACGTATAATCATTTTTTCGCAACAACAAACTTAAGACATGTTTAAAATGGAAATTTTTGTAGAAATATACGGATTTTATTGATGAGATGCATAAGCCCCACTCGCCCACCCCATCTCATTTGTGATGAATTTTTTTATTCGTAGTGAGACCGGGGGGCAAAGCTTATCCGCAAAGTCTATATTTCTGTACAAGGAAGCACGGAACGAAACATGTTTGAAGTACTATCCTATTGTTTTGACAAAAAATAGGGAACGAAGAAAAGAAAAACTTTACAAAAATAAAACTTTACGAAATGTTGCATAACATCGCCAAAAAATAGATTAAGCAAGAAATATGTGCAATTTAATTGGAACGTGGAATGTCAAAACTCTTTTAAAACATTGAAAAAGGGGGATAAGTTTTGATTAGCGACTTGCCACGCTTACGATAATGTTAAAACGAAAGCAAAATTTCGAAGCAGTCAGCAATTTTGATTTTTTTTCATAAAACTTGGATCTCTAAGGTGAAGAAAAATAATGATGGATTAATAAATCACAAGTATGATAGTGTATTATTTTGTAAAGTGTAAATAGAATTAGAACTTTGATTAGAAATAATACATCCCGAGTTTACGTTCGGGAATTAAAAAACAACACTGTTTACTTACTCTGGAAAAATTTTTTTTAAAAAGCATTTGTTCAATTGCTCTACTAAAAATACCTCCATTCTTTAAGTACGTGTTAAGTCAAATGCGTGTTAATTATAAACTGCAAACTTGACACACGATTGTGTATTTCACAATGTAATTCCCCCTGAAATGAAGCGAAAATCAAGGTTAACATCTCCATCTTCCCACCGACTGCATTTCGTCTCATGTTCTTAAACCAAGCAAGTGTATTTAGAGGCGCGAGCAGAAAAATCAAAATTTTGGTATTTATGACATAAGAAAATGGCAATCGGTGTAGTTCCGGGGTCGTCAACCGCCCATAATAACAATGACAGTGAAAGCGAAAGTTGTAAAACATCTAAAACTTGGCAAAATTTAAAAGGTAAACACAATTATTATCATTTTTGTACCATACTTAAATAACTGTCTTTTTTAGATACACGAATATCAAATTTTCGGTTAAAACATATTGTTAGTGTGTTAGTATGTGCCCTGGGTCTAATGATGATTTTAATTACTATATTCATAATTATTCTGTCGGTGAGGGGCAATACAACTTCAAAAAGTACAAACGTCGCAGCTGAAGAGTCCATGTTAGTTGACGACTCCGGAAATAGTAAGTTCAAATTTAAGCTATTATTTTCTGAAGCTGTTATACTGCTCAAGACAAAATAAAACACAAACAGGAAAAAATGTATTTTCGCTGTAGATTCTACACGAAAAACAACAATAGTTACAAGGTTGTCCAGTCCGCCAGCGGTGATGATTAGAGAGCGGATTTATATATAAGCACAAAAAATTAAGAATAAGCGCTTAAATAAGCACAACATTTTCAATAAAAAAGTTTATTTTAAGCAAAAAATCATTAAAAACATAATCATATTACAAATCAAAGAACACTTCTTAGAACTTTGGATAAAATATTATTACAATAATCCTAGACTTTATATTTACACACGTATTTCAGTTTTCTTTAAAACAATTTATGATTGTAATATGTTCCAAGTTGTCCACTGTAAAATTTTTTCGCCGATCATTTAAAATGTATTTAAAATTTGAGAATGTGCGTTCAACATCCACACTCGTTGTTGGCGCAAATTTGAATTTTGCAACTAATGTTGAATCTAACTCCAAATTTTCCACCTTCTGGCCTTGTAAAACACGAGCAACGTCGGAAAGAACACCGAAACCTGCATTTTTATTTAACACTTCGTCAAGTTTTTGAGATACTCTAGTACCAATATCGCCCCTTACTGCGTTTGCTTGTTGTTTAAATTCTTTCACTAAGTTTATAGCATCTACCAACAACATGTTGGGTTTTTCTAACTTTTCTATTACCTCACATACGAATTGATAATTGCTTCTTAGAAAAGCTAGATCTTGTCGCAAATCTTTGTTTTCCAAAATATTTATGCAATCTTTAATCGATTGAGAATGTTCGGGTTTCGGTTTTACCTACCAACCGCAACCCTTGTCAACAAGCGTTCCCAACTTTCTCTTCTACCTGAAATGTATCGCTTCCGATTTTAACAACTTTGTACATAGACTCCGAACCGTCAACAACAAGTAAATACAGTGTTACACAGCACATGTTTGTGTTTCATTTATATCAATCTTTTTCGGTACGTATGTATGAGTAACAATCATACATCCAACATTGGTCCTTCGAGCCGGATCTCTCCACATGTGTGATCCAGTGCTGTGAATTCAACAATAAAACGCGGTGGTGCCATTTTTCGACGCCTGTATCGGGAGACGTGATCTACCGGCCATCGGAGTTCCCTACCGGACAGGAGAGCAGCGAATCCAGCCCATCCAGTCGTTTCATCCAAGGTTCCAAGTGACCTTATCACGTTTTTGGTAATTTTCGACGCCTGTATCGGGAGACGTGACCTACCGGCCATCGGAGTTCCCTACCGAGCAGGAGAGCAGCGAATTCAGCCCATCCAGTCAATTCACCCAGGCTCCAGGTGATCTTATTACGGTTTTGGCAATTTTCGACGCCTGCATCGGGAGACGGGATCCAGCCATTGGAAATTCCCAACCGGACAGGAGAGCAGCGAATCAGTCTAGCCGTCCCAGGTGCCAGAGGGCCTTATTGCGGTGAGTGGGTTCCAACTATTCCTTTTCTTTATCTATTTCCGGTCAAGCACGCATTCGACCGTAATTGCACGTCATTTTATTTAAATTTCATTGGCAAGTACCATTTACCTTGCCCGAACTGTACCAGTTTTACGTATTTCAACTAAGCGGCTTTTCAAATGGTTATGACGCGTTCGCAAACTTTCGATGCTCCACACATGGCAGGCGCGGAAGGTGACGACAATGCCGAAACATTTTCGGACTCAAATCCTACACCAGAGGATGCAGGAAATTTACAAATTTTATTCTTAAAAAGAAATCGCATTCACGACGAAATATCGCGTTTCAAGTTGTGGTTTGAAACAAACAATCTAAGTACATCCGCTTCTCGACTAAGAGTAAGATTGCGCGATTTTGTACGTATTAAGGCTCAGTTTGACAAAATCCATTCTCAGATTGAAGCTCTTGATGACGCCACCCCCGATTTAGAACAAGCTACCACAAGACTTTATTTTGAAAACGCGTATTACGATTTATGTGCAGATGTCGAAGATGCTATTGAACAAAAACGCGTTAACACATCTTCACCTGCACAGCAAGGTAACGCACCTACGAGCACACCGTCACCATCGGTGCAGTCGCTCCCGATTGTTATTAAACCGTTTAGCGGAATTTATACTGAATGGCTACCTTTTTATAATACACTTAAAACACAAAAGGTGTCTACATTTACAGCGGCAGTAAATCGCAATAGTACACAATCCACTTGTTATTTTTGTAAAAAATCTCATTTAATTTACAACTGTGTTACCTTTTTAAAACTCAGTGTTTCGGAAAGAAGGTCTCAGGTAGATAGGTTGAAATTATGTCAAAATTGTCTCAAACCATCGCATCCGTCCGATAGCTGTAAATCTATGTCATGTAAATTATGCCAATTGAAACATAATACACTTTTACATAGTGACCAACCCTCCCATTCAAACGAAAACCAGCCCAGTACCAGTGGAGTTTATTGCTCATCCGCCCTTTTTCCACAAGCCGTTTTCTCTACAGCAATAATTCTAATAAAGGATTGTAAAAACAAATTTCAAAAATTCCGGGCTTTGTTAGACGTGGGTTCAGAATCGCATTTTATTACTGAAGCCGCCACTAACAAATTGGGTTTAAGTACAGAAAATGCAAATGTGGTCGTAGCAGGTACTCAATGTTCAAATACGACCGCTAGACAAAAGTTTCAGGTACAGATCGAGTCGTTGCATTACTCATTTACAACAGCTTTAAATTGTCTGGTAATCCCAAAAATTTCGAAGAACATACCTGTCCGTACCTTTTCTAAAGATGAGCTGGACATACCTGAAGCGGTAAAACTTGCCGATCCTAATTTCAATTTGTCACAGCCAATCGATCTGTTAATCGGAGCTGGATTATTTTGGCAACTGTTATGTGTAGGTCAAATTCAAACGATAGGACATGGCTTAATATTACAAAAAACTTTATTAGGTTGGATTGCAGGAGGGCCATTGCATGGATGCCCCACCAGTGACACTCGTCAAAATCTACATTGCGCGGTCAATAATGTCAATTTAGAAAACCAGGTTGAAAAGTTCTGGAAACTTGAAAGTTATTCAAACGATGATAAGCCGCTCACAGCTCTTGAAATACAACATGAGAACTATTTTATTAACAATGCCACTCAATTATCCAACGGACGATTTCAAGTCAGATTAACATTTAACGAATTTTTACCAAACTTGGGGAATCCGACAGAAATCGCGCTCAAACGATTCAACACATTGGAACGAAAGTTCGCAAAAAATGTCATGTTAAAAATAAATTATCACGATTTTATGAAAGAATACATTAATTTGGGTCATATGCGTTTACTAGGTCCATTGACAGAGCATAGAATCGAAAGCGAACCCTATTACCTCTTGCCTCACCACGCGGTTTTCAAAAATGACGGGGTCACTGATAAGATTCGCGTAGTATTTGACGGCTCAGCCAAACCATCATTCGGAAAAAGCATAAATGCTTGTCTCAGTACAGGGCCAAAAGTACAAAACGACATTTTTTATTTAATAATTGGATTTAGAACGTATAGGTTTGCCTTTACAGCGGACATTTGCAAGATGTACCGTCAAATTTTAATTCATCCCGAAGAAAGACGATACGAAAAAACTTTATGGTGGGATGATCCCGTGCTTTACCAAGCACGTGTCACTTTAGCCAAACGGGCTTCGAATACAAATTTGCTGAATGATTTGACAACTAACCACATCAATTTTCATTTCATTCCGCCTTCCGCACCACATATGGGGACTATCGGGAAGGCAATGGTCAAATCTGCGAAAAGTCAGTTGAAGCGCGTTACTGGTATATTTTTATTTAATTTGCAAGAAATGCAGACGTTGCAAATACAAGTCGAAACGTGTTTGAATTCGTACCCGTTAACCGCCATGTCCAAAGATCCAAATGACCTGACTCCTTTAATTCACGGTCACTTCCTCGTTGGAACCCCTCTAACTGTTATTCCAGAGGATAACGTCACCACGGTCTCAAAGAACCGGCTCTCCAGGTGGCAACAATTCAGCCGCACTCAGCAGCAATTTTGGAAACGGTGGACAGCAGAACATATGGGTCAACTTCATCATCGCCCAAAATGGACCAAGGCCAGCCGCAACAGCATAAGGTGGACGATTTGGTGGTCGTTAAGGAAGACCACACACCCCCGCTTATATGGACCACTGGGACGCGTTATTACTGTTCATCCCGGTCTACATGGCCCCATTCGCGTAGTGACAGTGAGAACCGCGCATGATGTGATTAACCTGCAAGTGACTAAGCTGTGTGTGCTTCCGACATAAACAAATGTGCAGTGTCTAAATTTACCCTTTTTTTTCTATATGTTCTGTACTCTATTTCATTGTCAATGTATGCACCTGTCATGTAGACACATATTATGTATTTCATATTTGCAATTGTTATACTTTGTCATGTTGAAAGTTAGTTCTTTCAAGGCGCCGGACCATGTTCGGGTTTCGGTTTTACCTACCAACCGCAACCCTTGTCAACAAGCGTTCCCAACTTTCTCTTCTACCTGAAATGTATCGCTTCCGATTTTAACAACTTTGTACATAGACTCCGAACCGTCAACAACAAGTAAATACAGTGTTACACAGCACATGTTTGTGTTTCATTTATATCAATCTTTTTCGGTACGTATGTATGAGTAACAATCATACATCCAACAGAGAAGAATCTTCGCTAAACTCCGTAACTACTTCCTCAAATTCTTTGATATATTTGTCATAATTAAATGTGGCCTGTAACCATGTTACCCACCTCGTTATAATCGGCTCTGGGGGCAATGGTATGTTTGGAAATGTTTCCTTAAAATGTTGCACTCTTAGTGGGGCTTTAACAAAAATCTTTTTACCATTTGCCACTAATTTATTAACAGTAGGAAACTGCAAACGTATTCCTTCAGCCACTCTGTTTAAACCGTGGGCAATCCAAGTAGAGTGAATTAAATTGGGGTACAATATTTTTAGATTATTCCCTGCTTTCAACATATAACGAGCTGCATCCGAGATCATCAATAAAATTTTATTTGGCAAAAATAGTGACGTAAGACTGTCATTTACAAATCTCGTAATCGTATTGCCATTTGTTTTATCTAACATTTTCAAACTTACTACATACCCTCGACTAGGGAAATTTTCATTTAAGATTCCAACAATTAAACTTGCCACGCATCTTCCACAACTATCGGTTGTTTCATCGACAGCGAACCATAAATAATTATCTCCAATGCGATGTTTAATTTCGTTGTAAACTTGCTGAAACACTGGGCCTACATAATTTTTTCGGAGAGTACTTTCAACCGGAATATGTCGATTGCAGTGTTTTTCAAGGAATTCTTGAAGAGGGCCTTTCTCCAATTTTTTTAAAGGTATATTGGACTGGATCATCATTTTACATAAATCGAAATTAAACTGAAACTGCTCATCTTTTATGGAAGTAGATGCAACAGATTCATGTATGGTCTGCTGTTTAATTTTAGAAACTTGAAACATTTTCTTCCTTTCTACATGAAGAGTCGTTCTGACATGTTGCATCACGTTATATTTTTTATCACTTTGAATCTAAAACAACGTACATATACAGGATTAACAAAGGAAAATAGATAAAAAAAAATTAGTGGGCTTACGGTTTTCACACAAGCTCTGCAGAATATTTTGTTGTTTTCTAATTTTAATTCTGGAAAATCCCTTATCCACTCATCCGGCGTCGATTTTACTTTCGGTATTCTTTTAAAATATTAGTAATATTACCAAAAAGAACTCAACATGTAACAAGGGAGAACCACGTATAAAACTGTACTACGACAGATGCGATAGACTGATGGTTGTGAAATAAACGGTTCATTTACTTAAAAGTTTCCATTAGAAAAATTTTAAGGTAGGTAGTTGGGTACAATAATCCTTTTTTCTAGAAAATCTTCAACGGTCTTGCCACAAAATGCCGAAAAAGAACATCTGGTTAAAAGCTTTAATTCGTTATCAACGGAAGTAAGGATTTAAAGTCATAAAATCTATATAGTATTTTTCCAATCCTATAATAAAATTTTATTATCCAAACGAGCGGAACCTATTCACAGAAAGGGTCTTGAGTAAGTGTACTTCAATGGTCAAGTCCAGGTAAAATGCATACGATACGATACGCCTAACTAACAAGTATTAGTCATCCCGACAAGGCCGGCATGTTAACAAAATATGCATTAAAACTCATATTCGTCGAAAAAAGCATTAAATAAGCATATAAGTTTTAATATGCATAAAATTGAAAAAAAAGCAAATAAGCATAAAAAAATGTGTCATATGACTCCAAATTGTATCATAGTTACAGATATAAAAAAGTTTTGAAGTGCTTACATTTTTCACAAAAAGCATTAAACCTAGAAATCCGCTCTCTAGTGATGATTACTTTACAGATGCGAAGTTTTGATTCAAAGAAATATGAATTTTTGAAGCTATTGAACTCTTTATTGCGATTTTGTTGTGGGCAACAATTAAAGTGCAAATTCTGTCTTTTTAGAGCCGAAACTCCCCGGGAAAGTCAAGCTCGTTTCCCGCCTGGAGTGGGCCGCACAACCCCCCGTGGAACCCGCCACACCCCTCCACACCTCCGTGCCATACGTGATAATCCACCACACACAAACCGAGAACTGTTCTTCTCAAGCCCAATGCGTCCTCCAGGTTCGCTTCATCCAAACCTACCACATCGAAAGTCGCGGTTGGTGGGACATTGGCTACAATTTCCTAGTTGGAGGCAACGGCGAAGCCTACGACGGCCGGGGTTGGAAGTCCGAGGGGGCGCACACTTCCGGGTACAACGCCCAAAGCATCGGAATTGCCTTCATTGGGACTTTCGATCGTTACAAACCGCCTGAGAGACAAATTAGAGCTTGCAAGCTTTTGATCGCAAAAGGGGTGGAGCTGGGCTATATTAAGAAGGATTACAAGTTGCTGACGCCGAGGCAACTCCAGACTACGAAAAGTCCGGGGGATGCGTTGTATGAGGAGTTGAAAACGTGGGAGCATTGGGCCGAAAGTCCGTAAGGTAGCGCGAAAGAACTGATATTAAGAAATATTTGTATGTGGCTCAGAGATACTTGTTTAAAATCTGTAACATAAATACTAATAAACGGAAACACTTTTTTTATGGAATTTAATTTCTGATAGATACTTAAGACTGTTACCGGAATTATAAAAACGAAAGAAACTGAAAAATGACGAAAATGATTCAAAGAAAATTGAAAAGTCAAATCAAAAAAATGTAAAATCGGACACCTTTATAAGCGAAAAATTGTAGAATAATTAAAACGAAAAATCAAAAACTTGAAAAAGTAAAATTGAAATTCTAAACGCTTAAAAATCAAAAAATTGAAGAATTTTAAAATTACAAAATTGGAAAATCGTTAAATAAGAAAATTGAAAAATTGCAAAATGAAAAATCGAAAAATTAAAAAGTCGAAGGACTGAAAAATTGAAAAATCGAGAAAGTAGAAAAATTGCAAAACTATGAGATTGGAAAAAAAACTTAGAAAATTTGAAATCATAATTTTCAAATATTAAAAATCAGAAATTGAAAATCAGATACACTTAAAACGAAAAATTAAAAAATAATTAACTTGAAAAATTAAAAACCCAAAATTTGTAAAATTACAAAATAGAAAAATTCGAAAATTACGAAATTAGATAATTATAAACTCGAAATTTCAATTGAAAAATCAAAAGATGAAAAACTGATTCATTAAAAAGTCAAAAAATTGTAAGAACAAAAAACTGGAAAATACTAATTTTTAGATTGAAAAATCGAAAAATTGCAAAATTATGAAATTGAAAAAACAAAAACTTGGAAAATCATGCAAAATCGAAAATTTTCGTTTTTTGGATTTCGCACTGTTTCGATTTTTTAGTTTCCTAATTTTTAATCTTTCGATTTTTCAATTTTTCGTTGTTCAATTTTTCAAATTCTTGATTTCCACTTTTAAAATTTTTCAAAGTTTTCAATTTATACTGTTCCTTTTTTTTATTTTTGATATTTCAATATTATAATCTTGATTTTTCAATTTTTCTTTTTATTCAAAAAGTTAAAAACTCGAAAAACTTAAAGAACGGAAAATTGCAAATTTTTCAATTTTTCGATTTCTGCATTCCCAATTTTTTTACTTTTTCGTTTTTTCAATTTTTCAAGTTCTTAATTTTTATTTTTGATTTTCCCCATTTTTTACTTATCACTTTCTCGATTTTGTTTGGCAGTTTTTCGTTTTTCCATTTTCTGTATTTTTTTTTCAGTATTTCTCTTGATTTTATAATTTTTTGTTTATTCAATTTTTCAAATTTTCAGTTTTTTATTTTTCAAATCCTTGATTTTCCAGTTTTTAATTTTGCAATTTTTGGATTTCCAGTTGTCCGATTCTCCGATTCCTCTATTATCAGTATAGAGAATTGTTTTCCAATTACCAAAAACCAGCAGAAACTATTTGGTTTCAACAAGAGTATTGAGTGGCCTGCCAGCTCACCGGATTTGACACCGCTTGACTTTTTATGGGGCTATTTGAAAAAAATACGTTTATATCCACTGATTCACACTGAAGGATTGTGGGAACGCATACGTAACGTAATTGAGAATTTAGAAAAGTCCAAAATTGAAAAATCGAAATATTTCTAAGTAGTAAAATTGAGGAGGAAAAAAATTGAAAAAACCTAAAACTGAGACATCGGAAAATTGAGAAACCGAAAAACTAAAAAATGGAAGTCGAAAAACCGAAACCTAAAAAAATAGAAAAAATAAAAATCAAAAACCTGAAAATTTGAAAAATTCAAAAATCGATAACCTGAGTATTTATAAAAGCCAAATTTGAAAAATTGAAATATCGAAATATCTAAAAATTGTAAGATTGAAAAGGAGAAGAATTGGAAAATCGTAAAATTGAAACATCGAAAAAATTAGAAAAAAAAAATTGAAAATCATGAAATTGAAAAATTGAGAAACTGTAAAATCGAAAAATTGAATAAATAAACTGAAAAATCCCATTACTGAAATTTCGAAAAATTGAAAAATGAATGAAAAACTGAAAAATCATAAGACTAAAATATCCAAAAACTGAGAAATTGAATATTTGAGAAACCGTAAAATCAAAAAAGGAAGTCGAAACACCGAAACCTGAAAAAATAGAAAAATTAAAATCATAAACCTGAAAATTTGAAAAATTGGAAATTTAGAAGAGTCAAAATATGAAAAATCGAAATATTTAAAAATCGTAAAAATGAAGAGGAGAAAAATTGAAAAAACGTTAAACTGAAACATTGGAAAATTGAGAAATCGAAAAATTGAAAAATTGAGAAATTGTAAAATTGAAAAATTGAATAATGAATAATTAAAAAATTCCAAAACTGAGATTTTGAAAAATTCCAAAATGAAAGAAAAACTGAAGAATGGAAAAACTGAAAAATCAAAAGTCAAAAAAATGAAATCGAAAATTCAACACCTTAAAAAATTGAAAAATCAAAAACCTAAAAATTTGAAAAATTCAAAAATCGATAAACTGAGAGTTTATAAAAGCCAAATTTGAAAAATTGAAATATCGAAATATTTAAAAATCGTAAAATCGAAGAGGAGAAAAATTGGAAAAACGTAAAATTAAAACATCGAAAAATTGAAAATCGTGAAACTTAAAAATTGAGAAATTGTAAAATCGAAAAATTGAATAAATAATCTGAAAAATCCCCAGACTGAAATTTCGAAAAATTGAAAAAGAATGAAAAACTGAAAAATCCTAAGACTGAAATATCCAAAAACTGTGAAATTGAAATATTTAGAAACCGAAAAATCGAAACAGGGGAGTCGAAAAACCGAAACCTGAAAAAATAGAAAAATTAAAAATCATAAACCTGAAAAATCGAAAAATTGAGAATTTAGAAAAGTCAAAAATTGAAAAACCTAACTATTTAAAAATCGTTTAATTGAAGAGCAGAAAAATTATAAAATTGAATAATGAATAATTTGAAAAATTCCAAAACTGAAATTTTGAAAAATTGAAGAATGAAAGAAAAACTGAAAAATCAAAAGTCAAAAAAGTGAAATCGAAAAACAAAACCGTTACATTTAAAACAGGGCAGGTGGGCGGGGCTAACATTTTGTATATTTTTTTAATATTATAAATTTTTGTAGGGAAATATTATTTTTGTAATTATGGTCCACCCCTCGGTGTGACAACGAATGAAAAATTATTTACCACTAAGATCGGAGCTGGTGTAGGTGGGACTTAATCTTTAGCTTCCTTTTCTGCTTAATAATAATTGTTATAGTTTTCTTGGTACATAATTTTATAAGAACATATTTCAGATGGTAATTTCTTGTTGAAAAATAAGGATTGCAATTAGGCTTCGCCCGTCCGGCTCACGTCGAATAAAATAAATCATTACAATCAAGATTGGGTGGGTGGGCGGGGCTAATATTTGTGTATGTTTTCTTAATATGAGGTTTTCTTTCACAAGAAACTTAAACCATGTTGAAAATGATAAATTTTTGTAGGGAAATATTGATTTTGCAATTAAGCTCCGCCCCTGGATGTGACAACGAATGAAAAGTTTATTACCACTAAGATCGGGGTAGTATTGGTAGGACTTAATCGTCGGCTTCCTTTTTCCTTAATAATACCTAATTGTTATAGGTTTTTTGTACGCATTTTTTAAAAAACAACAAAAGCGAATAAGCAGTTAAAAATGTTTGATGCATCAAAAATTGTCAAAGTTTTTAAAACCCTGCGTTTAAAATGTTCGCAGTTAACTTTAGGTCCCTCTACTAGTGTTTTACTTACAGGAATCCGGTGTTTTGTTGCTGTATGAACTTGAACAAATCTTTTCAACTTTTAGTGTTTTATTTTTTACGAATTTCAAAAAGTCTTGAGTGCCGTAGTGTTTTTTTTTTAATTCGGGAGACCCTTGGGTACCTATGGAGCATTATTTTGGGAGCCTCCAGTGTCTTTTCTTATAGTAATTTAATTAAATTTCTTAGAGGATACGTCCTTTGCTAAAATCAGTCTTATCTTAGCAGATACTAACCCCACCCGCCCGCCCTCTATTTTTTTTAGAGAATATATCAATTGCCAAAATCAGTCTTATCTTAGCAGGTACTAGCCCCGCCCACCCACCCTCTCGTTTCTCAGAGGGTATGTTATTTGCCAAAATCAGTCTTATCTTATCAAGGACTAGCCCCACCCATCCACCCTCTCCTCTCTTAGAGGGTATCTCATTTGCCAAAATCAGGCTTATCTTGGCAGCTACTATATAATGTACTTTATAAGTACATATTTCAGATGGTAATTTCTTGTTGAAAAATAAGGATTTTACAAATATGCTCCGCCCCTTGGTGTTACAACGAATGAAAAGTTCACCACAATTTAGAAAGGGTGGGTGGGCGTGTTTTTTTTTTCTTAAAATATATAGTTTTCTTTCATCAGTAGATTATTTAAAAAATAAAATGGTGAATTTGAGGTTAGAATTACATGCAACCACCATATAGGTAAATTTTTGCTTGGAAATTTCCTACGTCATACTCTAGCTAGTAAAGTAAAAAAGCTAGTTTTTTTTTGACGTTATCGATTACTGGAGAAAGCAAGTCGATAAAATTGTATCGTATTAAAGAGAATGTTAAATAAAAATGTACAATTAAATGATAATTAAATTATCTACATATAACCTTGAGGCTTATGGTTTGATAGCGAAATAGGAATACCGGTTTTGCAACTATAAAAACAATAATAAGAAATATCAACAACGAGCGCTATTTCGATCAAACTAGAATTACTTTATGTTCGAACATTACTTGATACATGATGATAATAACGAAGTCTGGTAGTAATTTATGAGTCTCATAAATTTACATATTGAACAAAATTTATCAACCACAGTTTAACACAATACGCATACATAATTCCGCGTATATACAAGTGGAATTTCCTGCAAAATTAACCAGAAGACAAGCTGATATCCACATTCCGTGTTAGACACTCGAGAAAAGCATGTGTATTACACATTTACGTCAGCACCAAAACTAATCATTCAAATTCTTTATTATTTATAAAATTACAAGACAACAAAATGGCAAAAACTGTGATATCATCATCAGACGAAAACAGTGATAATGGAATACAGTTTGAAGCACAAAACTGTGGAAACGAAAAGGGCGAAACGTCAAAAATCCAACACAATTCAAAAGGTAAAAAAGCCCTTTTTTAATCATAAACTGAACGCTTCTTTCAGATTTTCGTATATTGGACTACTTGAAACGAAACCTCGCTGTCGTGTCGGTTTGTGCCCTCAGCGTAGTGACTGTACTTTTAATCGTGACCATAATTATTCTGTTGCAAAAGAATTCTATGCCAGTCGCTGTCAAACCAGAGGAACCCTCACCAATAACGCCAACACAAAACTTGACCCTCCCCCATAAATTGACGATCGTTTCGCGCCACGAGTGGCTCGCGCAACCCCCCGTCGAACCCGCCACAGCCCTCCACACCCCCGTGCCATACGTGATAATCGACCACACAGCAACCGAGAACTGTTCTTCCCAAGTTCAATGCGTCTTCCAGGTTCGCTATGTCCAAACGCACCACATCGAAAGTCGCGGTTGGTGGGACATTGGCAACAATTTCCTCGTTGGAGGTAACGGCGATGTTTACGAAGGACGGGGTTGGAAGTCCGAGGGGGCTCACACTTACGGGTACAACGCCCAAAGCATCGGAATCGCCTTCATTGGGACCTTCAATCGTTACAAACCGCCTCAGAAACAAATTATCGCTTGCAAGCTCTTGATCGCAAAAGGGGTGGAGTTGGGCTACATTAAGAAGGATTACAAGTTGCTGGCGTCGAGGCAACTCCAGACTACGAAAAGTCCGGGAGATGCGTTGTATGAGGAGATGAAAACGTGGGACCATTGGGCGGCAGGTCCTTGAGGAGCTGTGATTTGTGTGAAAGTGTGTGAAATATATGGAAGTACAATTGAAAAAAGGGGGATGTCGTGGTACCTGTGTCTGATCCAGTTTAAACAATTTTGTATACTTGCTACAAACCGTTGTTCTGAATCAATCTAGTCGAAATAAAATAATTATTATAATTATTAGTAATTAATTAATAAATAAAAACTTTTCACATTCTACAATCTTTTATTATTATTTATCCTATTCATGACACAAGTATTTTTATTAAAGACAGAAAAATGTGTTAAAATTTGGACCCCGGAAGAGATATTAATGTGAAACAAAAATAGGATAAATCAAGAACGAGTTTATCCTAACACAGTATGGTATGTTACATTGGTCTTAAGGTCGTATTTAGCATAGATTTGTACTGTTCAAACCACCATTCTGGAAAAAACTTTGGAGTAATCGAAGAAAGGAAAGCGGATATGACTTCTGCTGCCCGAAATCTATAAGAAAATGTATTTAGACAAATTTCGAAAATTTTGTTGAAAATTGGTCGGTAAATTGCATTAAATCTATATTTCAAAGGGCGATTCTGGGAAAACCAATCGAGTTATCGAAGAAATGTTTGCGGAAGTGACTTCTACGGCCCGAAATATATAAGAAAATGTATTTTGCAAAATCTCGAAAATTTTGATGAAAATTGGTCGGTAAATTGCATTAAATCCATATTTCAAAGGGCGATTCTGGGAAAACCAACCGAGTTATCGACGAAATGTTTGCGGAAGTGACTTCTACGGCCCGAAATCTACAAGAAAATGTATTTTGAAAATTTTCGAAAATTTTGATGAAAATTGGTGGAAAATTGGTCGGCAAATCGCATCAAATCTATATTTCAAAGGGCGATTCTGGGAAAACCAATCGAGTTATCGAAGAACTGTGTGCGGAAGTGACTTCTACGGCCCGAAATCTACAAGAAAATGTATTTTGAAAAATTTCGAAAATTTTGATCAAAATTGGTGGAAAATTGGTGGGTAAATTGCATTAAATCTATATTTCAAAGGGCGATTCTGGGAAAACCAATCGAGTTATCGAAGAACTGTTTGCGGAAGTGACTTCTAAGGCCCGAAATCTACAAGAAAATGTATTTTGAAAAATTTCGAAAATTTTGATCAAAATTGGTGGAAAAGTGGTGGGTAAATTGCATTAAATCTATATTTCAAAGGGCGATTCTGGGAAAACCAATCGAGTTATCGAAGAACTGTTTGCGGAAGTGACTTCTACGGCCCGAAATCTACAAGAAAATGTATTTTGAAAAATTTCGAAAATTTCGATGAAAATTGGTGGAAAATTGGTGGGTAAACTGCATTAAATCTATATTTCAAAGGGCGATTCTGGGAAAACCAATCGAGTTATCGAAGAAATGTTTGCGGAAGTGACTTTTACAGCCCGAAATCAACAAGAAAATGTATTTTGTAAAATTTCGAAAATTTTGATGAAAATTGGTGGAAAATTGCTGGGTAAATTGCATTAAATCTATATTTTAAAGGGCGATTCTGGGAAAACCAATCGAGTTATCGAAGAAATGTTTGCGGAAGTGACTTCTAGGGTCCGAAATCTACAAGAAAATGTATTTTGAAAAATTTCGAAAATTTTGATGAAAATTGGTGGAAAATTGGTCGGCAAATCGCATGAAATCTATATTTCAAAGGGCGATTCTGGGAAAACCAATCGAGTTATCGAAGAACTGTTTGCGGAAGTGACTTCTACGGCCCGAAATCTACAAGAAAATGTATTTTGAAAATTTTCGAAAATTTTGATCAAAATTGGTGGAAAATTGGTAGGTAAATTGCATTAATTCTATATTTCAAAGGGCGATTCTGGGAAAACCAATAAAAAAAATAAATAAAAAAACGTCATTGCACGAAAAATCGAAAGGAAATAATTGTGTGAACACACGCACATAATGAAAAATATGCAACAAAAATACGAAAAAAAAAAGTTAATAAAAACACGCAATTTGAAGTTAATGCAAAATCCTAACCTTTAGGCTTCTTCTTCTGCTACAATTTAGCGAATTTCTTCATCCCCATTTACGAACCCACTGCAACAAAAAAACACATGAAATTTTTGTGTACACTGAAACGTTTTGCTGATGCATTAGTTAACTTCTTTTAGTTGTAGTTTAATATGTCCCAAACACAAAAATGTGTTCAAAACAATTCGGAAATTTATAAAAAACAATAATGGAAATTACAATGAACAATATTATTAATTGCAGTGATGCAAACACTTAGGCTGTCCGAAATGGAATAAAAATTAAAATTGGATTTAATTTTTAAGTAATTAAAATTGATAAAATCCTATTAGACTTACCTCGCCTTTGCATGGTTGCATGGTTAACTTCGTGTATTCATGTTTAAACACGGCGAATAAAAAAATCATCACATTTAGATAGGTGGGTGGTAGGGGCTTATATTTTGCCTTTTAGTTTTTTTAACACGTGTAGACTTCTTTTCACAACAAGAAACTTAAAACTTGTTTAAAGTGGTAAATTTTTGCAGGGAAATATGTTTTTTTTGCAATTATGCTCGGCCCCTCAGTGTGAGAACGAATGGAAAAATCCATCTCAGTTGAGATCAGAACGGGTAAAAGTGGGGCTTAATTTTTGGCTTGCTTTTTTACGTGGTAATTATAGTTTTCTTTGAACATAATTTTTTTAAGAACATGTTTCAGATGGTAATTTCTTGTAGAAAAATAAAATTTTGCAATGAAGGTCCGCCCCCTGGCTCGAGATGAATAAAAAATTAAGATAAGGTGGGTGGGCGGGGCGTATATTTTGTTTTTGTTTTTCTTAATAGAAGAAGTTTTTTTCACTACAAGAAACTTAAAACATGTTTAAAATAGTAAATTTTTTCAGAAAAATATGGATTATGCACTTAATCTTGTCCCTTCGGTGTGACAATGAATGAAAAATTCACCACAATTAAGATAGGGTGGGTGGGCGGGGGATATATAATTGTTTTCTTTCTTAACAAGACACTTAAAACATGTTTAAAGTGGTAAATTTTTGCAGGGAAATATAGATTTTGCAATTGTGCTCCGCCCCTCAGTGTGACAACAAATGGAAAAATCCATCACAATTGAGATCAGAACGGGTAAAGGTGGGGCTTAATTTTTGGCTTTCTGTTTTACTTGGTAATTATAGTTTTCTTTGAACATAATTTTTTTAAAAACATATTTCAGATGGTAATTTCTTGTAGAAAATTAAAAATTTTGCAATTAAGCTCCGCCCCCTGGCTCGCGATGAATACAAAATTTAGATAGGGTGGGTGGGCGGGGCATATTTTTTGTTTTTGTTTTTCTTAATATAAGTGATTTTGTCACTACAACAAAACTAAAACATGTTTAAAATGGTACATTTTTTTAAGGAAAATATGGATATTGCATATAATCTTTGCCCTTCGGTGTGACAATGGCTGAAAAATTCATCACAATTAAGATAGGGTGGGTGGGCGGGGCATATATACATATTTTTTTCTTAATATACGTAGGTTTTTTCGCAAGAAACTTAAAACATGTTTAAAGGGGTAAATTTTTGCAGGAAATATGGATTTTGCAATTATGCTCCGCCCCTCAGGGTGACAACAAATGGAAAATTCGATCACAGTTGAGATCAGAACGGGTGAAGGTGGGGCTTAATTTTAGGCTTGCTTTTTACTTGGTAATTATACTTTTCTTTGGACATAATTTTTTAAGAACATGGTAATTTCTTGTAGAAAAATAAGAATTTTGCAGTTAAGTTCCACCCTCTGCCTCATGATGAATAAAAAAATCATCACAATTGAGACAGGGTGGGTGGGCGGGCTTACATTTTGTCGTTTTGTTATAACATGTGTAAACTTCTTTTCACAATATGAAACTTAAAACATGTTTTAAAAGGAAAATTTGTATAAAGAAATATAGATTTTGCAATAGGCTCCGCCCCATAATAGCAAAATTCGTGTTTCCTTGCAAAAACCATTTTAACCATGTTTTAAGCTTCTTGTCATGAAAAGATGGCTGTGTATATTAAGAAAAAAAAGGCAAAATATAGGCCCCGCCCACCCACCCGATCCCAATTCTGATGATTTTTTTTATTCATCGTAAGCCGAGGGGCGGAGCTTAATTGTAAAATCCTTATTTTTCTACGACAAATTACCATTTGAAATATGTTCTTAACCAATCGTGTTATACAAAGAAAACTAAATGTATTAATTAAAAAAGACAACCAAAAAAGAAGCTCCACCCATCCGTTTTTTCACCACAAGAAACTTATAACACGTTTGAAACTGTATATTTTTGCAGGAAAACATGGATTTTGCAATTAGGCTCCGCCCCTCGGTATGACAACGAATGAAAAATTCATCACAACTGAAACCGGGGCGGGTATAGGAGGGACTTAATATTTGAAGAATATGTTTCAGATGGTAATTTCTTGTAGAAAAATAAGAACTTTGCAATTAAGCTCTGCGACCTAGCTGACGACTAATAAAAAAAATTGGTCTAAAGAGTTTAGACAGTACTTCCCTCGCTGTCGGAAACTTGACGACTGCATGCCAATTGTGTTTTTTTTCTCATTACATTTTTGTAGTGGGAATTTAAAAAAAAATTGCGATGACGTCATCAACATTTTTGCAAGGACACGTATATCAGTTGGGATAGATGTAGTGTAATACTAAGAATAAAATTATTATATTCTCAAATTTTCGGGAAAATGAATTGGGTCGTTTTGAATATTGATTTGTAATAATCAATAAAATAACGAAACAATTTACTCACGTATACGTATCAGAGGCAACTGAAAATCGTATATGTATAAACATTCTTAATTTAAGATGACAGGCGTAACAGCATACGTGAGAGTCAAACAGAGAAACTGTAAACAAAACGACCATCGGTTTTATTGCTATCGGTTTTATTGCTTCGACTTCCGCTTATTATATAAGACATTGGGTTTTATTTTAATTCTTGACGGTGAAATTCACAATTGGTTGATTATAAACATGTCTATTTCACATTCGCGGAACCAAGTGAGCGCATAAAACAAATGCAGGTCTGTAATGTTAAAGTCGATGTAAATAAGCGTGCTACCCTTATGTTTCAACCGAGTTTTTCCTTTAACAAATTTTGTGTCTACCAAATTGGGTTGGTTGGGGTGTAATACTAATAATAAGTGTTGACTTTAATTTAATCAATAAAATAAATTGACTTCATTAATTTTTTTGAACCACCTCTTAAGAAAATCTAAAAAATATGAATGGAATGATAAATCACAAGTACAAACTCATCATATTTTTTGCATTTTAGATAGGATTTATTCAGCAAAATTTAAGGGTGACGTCATCAATTTTTTTAGGAGAGATGAACAAATACATTTTGAACAAAAGTTTACCATGCTTATAATAACTTTAAAATATTCCCAAGATTTCAAAGCATTCGGTTTTGTAATTCCTGATTAAATCGATAAAATAAATTCACGCCTTCATTAATTTTTTTGAGTCACCCTGCATATGCAAATCCAAAAATATGAATGGAATGATAAATCACAAGTACAGACTCATCATATTTTGTACATTTTAGATACGATTTATTCGGCAAACTTTTGAGCTGACGTCATCAGTTTTTTGTAGAAGATAACCAAATATATTTTGACTAAAAATTTATTATGCTCTTTATAACCTTAAAACATCTGCAAGATTTCAAAGCATTCGGTTTTGTAGTTCCTGATTAAATCAATAAAATAAATTTACGCATTCATTAATTTTTTTGAGTCACCCTGTATATGCAAATCGAAAAAATTTGAATGGAATGATAAATCACAAGAAGAGACTCACCATATTTTGTACATTTTAGATAGGATTTATTCAGCAAAATTTTGTGGTGACGTCATAAATTTTTTAGGGGGGACGACCAAATACGTTTTGATTAAAAATTTACCATGCTTATGATAATTTTAAAATATCTTCAAGATTTCGAAGCATTCGGTTTTGTAGTTCCTGAGTAAATCAGTAAAATAAATTTACGCTTTCATTTATTTTCTTGAATCGCCCTGTATATGCAAATCCAAAAAATATGAATGGAGTGATAGATCACAAGTACAGACTGATCATATTTTGTACATTTTAGATATGATTTATTCGGCAAATTTTCGAGCTGACGTCATCAAGTTTTTGGAGGGGATAAGCAAATATATTTTGACTAAACATTTATTATGCTCTTTATAACCTTAAAACATCTGCAAGATGTCAGAGCATTCCGTTTTGTAGTTCCTGATTAAATCAATAAAATATATTTACGCATTCATTAATTTTTTTGATTCACTCTGTATATGCAAATCCAAAAAATATGAATGGAGTGATAAATGACAAGTACAGGCTCATCATATTTTGTACATTTTAGATATGATTTATTCGGCAAACTTTCGAGCTGACGTCATCAAGTTTTTGGAGGGGATAAGCAAATATATTTTGTCTAAACATTTATTATGCTCTTTATGACCTTAAAACATCTGCAAGATTTCAGAGCATTCGGTTTTGTAGTTCCTGATTAAATCAATAAAATATATTTACGCATTCATTAATTTTTTTGAGTCACCCTGTATATGCAAATCCAAAAAATATGAATGGAGTGATAGATCACAAGTACAGACTCATCATATTTTGTACATTTTAGATATGATTTATTCCACAAACTTTTGAGCTGACGTCATCAAGTTTTTGGAGGGGATAAGCAAATATTTTTTGACTAAAGATTTATGATGCTCTTTATAGCCTTAAAACATCTGCAACATTTCAAAGCATTCTGGTTAGCAGATTAAAAATTAAATTTCAAAATGGTGTTTTATAATTTTGATTTTTTTTCCAAAAATCTGGACGTTTCGGGTGAAAAGTCGATTCAGAGTTGTAAACTACATGTGTAGGACTATGTTATTTTATACAATTGAAAACCCATTTATTATGTACAATTTTGAAGTGACGTCATCGCATTAGTGGCGGGGATGATTAGACAAATTTTGGTTAGCGTTTTACCATCTACATGATATTCTTAATATAAGTACAAAATTTCACAACAATCGATCGAGTACTTTCGGAGATTATCTGTCTAATAAAAATCCGGGACGGCAGACGGACAGACAGACGGACGGACAGACGGACAGACGGACAGACGGACAGACAGACGGAAATGGGAGACCTATTTCTTCGTCTTCTAGGGGTCATGAAAGATCGAGAAAACGTAAAAGTAGAGAGTCGGCCGACGGACTCGATTACAATACTTCCTTTGCTTACGCTCGGGAAGTAAAAATCATCACAATTGAGATCGGGTGGGTGGGCGGGGTATATATTTTATGTATATATATTTTTCTTAATATAGAGAGATATCGATTTTGCAATTAAGCTACGGATGAACGGTCAGCAATTCTCCAGATTTCCCTGTCAATATAAATTACTCTTAAAAAATAAACCTCTCAAATGGGAGCGTAAGAAAACATGAAAATACAATACAATAAATTTAGAAAAAAGTGTTATTCGATAGAATTTTTTTTTAACGTTATCGGTACTAGAGAAAACAAGTTGTCAAAATTTGCATCGTACTGACGAGAATCTTAAATAAAAATGAAAACACTAAATAATAACTAAATTATCTACATATAACCTTGTGACTTATGGTTCGATAAGGAAATAGGAACACCGGTTTTGCAACTATAAAAACAACAATAAGAAATATCAACAACGTACGCTATTTCGATCAAGCTAGAATAACTTTCTGTTCAAACATTGCAACAAGTGGATTTCCAACAAAATTAACTAGACGACAAGCTGATATCCACAGTGACAGAGTTCATTCCGTATTAGACCCTCGAGAAAACCATGTGTATTACACATTTACGTCTGCAGCAAAACTAATCACTCCAATTCTGTATTATTTATAAAATTACAAAACAACAAAATGGCAAAAACTGTGATATCATCATCGTCAGACGAAAACAGCGATATTGGAATACAGTTTGAAGCACGCAACTGTGGAAGCGAAAGGAGCGAAACGCCAAAAATGCAACACAACTCAAAAGGTAAAAAAACCCTTTTTTAATCACAAACTGAACCCTTCTTTCAGACTTTCGAATATTGGATTACTTGAGACGAAACCTCGCTATCGTGTCGGTTTGTGCCCTCAGCATAGTGACTGTGCTTTTAATCGTGACCATAATTATTCTTTTGCAAAAAAATTTTGTGCCAGTCGCTGTTAAACCAGTGGAACCCTCACCAATAACGCCAATAGAAAACTTGACCCTCCCCCATGAACTGAAGATCGTTTCGCGCCTCGAGTGGCTCGCGCAACCCCCCATCGAACCAGCTACACCCCTTCACACCCCCGTGCCATACGTTATAATCCACCACACAGCAACCGAGAACTGTTCTTCTCAAACCCAATGCGTCTTCCACGTCCGCGACATCCAAATGTACCACATCGAAAGTCGCGGCTGGTGGGACATCGGCTACAATTTCCTCGTTGGGGGTGATGGCAAAGCCTACGAAGGACGGGGTTGGAAGTCCGAGGGGGCTCACACGTTCAGGTACAACGTCCGAAGCATAGGAATTGCTTTCATTGGGAATTTCAATACTTACAAGCCACCTCAGAGACAGATCGCTGCTTGCAAACACTTGATTGCGAAAGGGGTTGAAATGGGATATATTGAGAAGGATTACATATTGTTGGGGGCAAGGCAACTGCACACTACGAGAAGTCCGGGGGATAAATTGTACGAAGAGATGAAAAAGTGGGACCATTGGGCCAGAGGTCCTTGAGGAGCTGTGATTTGTGGAATACATGAAAAACACTAAATAATAATTAAATTATCTCAATGTAACCTTCAAACATTACTTGATACGTGATTGACAACAACTAAATCTGGTTTTAATTCGTGAGTTTCACAGTTACGTAACCAGTAAAACTAATAATTTAATTTCTTTAGTATGATTTATAAAATCATAAGACAGCAAAATGTCAACAATTGTGATATCGTCACCATCAGAACAAAACAGTGATAATGAAACTAGTGATAATGAAGCACAATTCGAAATACGCGAAATACACGAAAGTGAAAGTGAAAGTGAAAGAAACGAAACACCAGAAATCACACACAATACAAAAGGTAAAAAAAAATATGTTTTAATATAAACTGAATACTGGTTTTAGATTTCCCACTAACAGATCTTCTGAGACGACACCTTGGTACTGTATTAATTTGTGCCCTTAGCTCAGTGAGTTTTCTTTTAATGGTTGCCATAATTATTCTGTTCCAACGGAATTTTATGCCAGCTACTGTCAACGTAGTTTCACACGAACAAACAAACTTCCACATAGACGAACCCTTAACAGAAACACCAATAGAAAGTAAAGTCGTGTCTTTAGTTCCGGAGTCTAAATTCAAGCTAGTTTCCCGTTTGGAGTGGCTGGCGCAACCCCCCGCTCATCCGGCCAAACCCTTCCACACCCCCGTCCCCTACGTGATCATCCACCACACAGCCACCGAGGACTGTTCTTCCCGAGCCCAGTGCACTTTCATCGTTCGTTTCATCCAAATCTACCATATCGAAAATCGCCGTTGGTGGGACATCGGCTACAATTTCCTGGTTGGGGGCGACGGCGAGGCCTACGAGGGTCGAGGGTGGAAGTCCGTGGGTGCTCACACGTCCTTGCACAACGCCCAAAGCATAGGAATTGCCTTCATTGGGAGTTTTGATAGTCACAAACCCCCTGAGAAGCAAATCGCTGCTTGCAAAGACTTGATAGCGGAAGGGGTGGAATTGGAGTATATTAAAAGGGACTACAAAGTGTTAACTCCAAGACAGCTGCAGTTATCAAATAGTCCAGGTGCAGCGCTCTATGAAGATATAAAAACTTGGAACCACTGGACCCAATCCCCGTAGTAGTTTCCCAAAAAGTTGAAAGACGTCTCTAATATTGTGCAATATTTGCTCAACCTCGTTATAATTGTTACTAAAATGAACAAAATGTAAAACAGCAGTGATAAACTTTAACACGAACAATAATAACAAATGATAACAAGTCTATGAAAATTCTAAAAATATGCACCAGTGATACGGTGAGTGCCACATTTATTTGACTTATGGTTGGTTACCTACCCAGTAATAATTAATAAACACACTGATGGCAAGCGAGAATCTGCTGGATTTAAAAACTTCATCTTTAGAACATCATAGTAAGTTTATTTTAAACCGCCACGTTTTACTTCGTTTGAAATCTTACGACTTGTCAAAATAGAATCCAATTTTTATTTTACAGTAAATAAAATGAGTCAATGAAATAGAGAAAAATGTTCAGTCTTAACGTAGCAAGTACTAGACCCGCCCACCCGCCCTCTATTTTCTTAGAAAACATATGATTTGCCAAAATTAGTCTTAACTTGGCAAGTACTGTGGTTGTGCTTCAGAGGCGTGGACGATTCAGTCTAAATAAGTCTTTCAAAGTCATACTTCACAAATTATTTGACTAATAAAATTGCGACTAGACAGACAATAGAAAAACCAAAACAAGAAATTATACATTCGTCAAAATAATAATAATAACACTGATAATACTAATGTTTAAATAAGCTGTGTTTTGTTTGTTGACCTTGAATTTCCCAATGAAATAAAGAAAATAACATTTAAAGTGTTAAAACTGTTAGAAAAACTAAACTTGGTGATAAATTGTGTTTCAAAGAAAGATCTATTTTACTTTAATCTCAAAAACGTCAAAAAATGCATACATAGAAAAAGTAAAATTTTTGAAAAATTGTCTGCAAATCTTCAACATTTTCGAAGAATTCGGTCTGAATTTTTTTTTTCTCGAAAATTTTCATGTTTCATTTTATCGCTTCTAGAAAAATTGTTTTATAGTTTCGAAAATGATGTCGAAAATAATTTCTAGAAGTACAAATTTACAAGAAAATTAGAAATTTGGAAAAATTGCCCAAAAATCCACAAAAAAATCTGAGATGTAGATCTTGACGAGCGGATACGAAAAACATAACATGATGACTTGATGACTCCGGTAGGTTTTCTGAAATATTCTGCTTGAAAATGAAATTTGTTGGAATTTTCGAAAACTGAAGAGGAAAATAACATCTGCAAGTCCAAATACGCAAGAAAATGTCTTTAGGTGATTTTTGAAAGTGATCAGAAAACGGATAAAAATGTGAAAATTGAGATTTGGGAAGAATTGACTAAAAATTTGCAAAAAATTCTAGAATATAATTCTTAATGGCTTAGTTCGAAAACATGGTCAGGGACCAACAACATTCGGTTTGAAAATGAAAATTTCGAAATACCTCAAAAAATCTCATATTTTTACACGCAAAAATTGTTAGAATCTTCGAAAATGAAGTCGAAATCTACAAGAAAATGTGTTTAGGTAATTTTCAAAGAACGTTCTACAAAATTCATACGAAGATTATAGAAAAATAGAGATTTTTAGACACTTTCCGAAAAAATTTTCAAAAAATTCTAGAAAATACATTTGGGCAAGATACTTCCAAAAACATATAACTCGCTGATGGTACCGGATCAACAATTTCAAAAAACTCGGCTTGAGGGTATTTTTTTTAATATTTCGAAAGCTCAAAAAATGGTCAAGAATTTCATACTAATGTAAACTGAGATTTTTCAAAATCCTGAAAAAATTCTAGGAAATGCATTTCAACAAGCTAAATCGAAAGAGAACGTGTTGATGAGTGCGAACGACTATTTTTGGAAAAATCGGTTTAAAAATGATTTTTTTTTAAATGGCGAAAATTGATATTTTAATTTAATTTTTACAACAGTAAGATTTTTGAAAAGTTCTTAAAAAACATTCAAAAAATTTTAGAGAGTTCCAGCACATTCGACTTGAAAATGATTTTTTTTAAATACCTCGGAAGCTCGAAAAACGGTCAAAAAATTAATACCTACTACATATTGAAAATCGAGAATTTTGTAAAGTTACCCAAAAATTTGACAAAATTATGGGAAATACATTTCAACAAGGTCATTCAAAAAACATAATGTGTGTTGATAGTCCCCGACCAAGAATTTCGGAAAAATTCGGTTTGAAAATCATATTTTTTAAATATATCTCGAACATCGTCAATTTTTATTTTATCGATTCTGGAAAAATTATCGACGAAATGAAACCCAAAAATAACTGCTACAAGTCAAAACCTACAGGAAAATGTCTTCGGGTAATTTTCGAAAGCTATTCCAAAAACGGTCACAAAATTCGTAGAGATTATATACAAAAAGAGATTTTTAAAAAATTGTCAAAAAATTCTCAAAAAATTCTAGAAAATACACGTCGACGCGCTGTTTCCAAAAACATATAACTCGTTGATGGTTCCGTATCAATAGTTTCAAAAAAATTCGGCTTGAAAATGATCTTTTTTTAAATTCATACTACTGAAAATTGAGATTTTTCAAAAGTTACCCATAAATCTAAAACATTTATAGGAAATACATTTCAACAAGGTGATTTTGGAAATATTTCAAAAAATGTTCTGTTTATTTACCGACTCTGGAGAAATTGTTGAAATTTTCGAAAAATATCTTTAGGTAATATTCGAAGGGTAATCGGAAAACGGCAAAAAATGTAAAAATTGAGATTTGGGAAAAATTGACTAAAAATCCGCAAAAAATTAGTTCGAAAACTTAACGTGTCGATGGTAAAGGGTCAAATTTCTGAAACATTCGGTTTGAAACATGAAAATTCTGAAATATATCAAAAAAATCTGATATTTTTATGTGAAAGAATTGTTGGAATTTTCGAAAATTAAGTCGCAAATAACTTCTACAAGTCGAAACGTGGAGGAAAATGTCTTCAGGTAATTTTCGAAAGGCGTTCCAAAAACGGTCCCAAAATTCACAAGATGATGTACAAATAGAGATTTTCTGAAAATTGTCAAAAAATTCTAGGAAATCCACGTTGACGCGCTGTTTCCAAAAACATATAATCGTTGATGGTCCCGTATCAATAGCTTCAAAAAAATTCGGCTTGAAAATGATTTTTTTTTAATATATTTTGAAAGGTCCAAAAATGGACAAAAAATTCATAGTACTTACTGGAAATTGAGATTTTTCAAACGTTGTTCATAAATCTTGAAAAAATTCTAGGAAATACGTTTCAACAAAATGATTCGAAAAACAACTTGTCAATAAATGCGAACTAAGATTTTTGAAAAAATCGGTTTAAAAGTGATTTTTTTTTTAATAATTGTCAAAAATTGCATTTAATCGAAATTGAAAATCGACATGGAAAATTACTTGTACAAATCAAAATCTACAAGAAAATATCTTTACGTAAATTTCGAAGGATGCTCGGAAAACTGCAGAAAAAGCATCTACATATATTGAAAAATTAACATTTTTGAAAAGTTGTTAAAAATATTCAAAAATTCCAGGAAAAAACTTGTCCGAAAAACATAACGTATTCGATGGTCCCAGACTAAATAGTTTAGAGAAATTCAGCTTGAAAATGATTTTTTTTTTTAATCTCGGGAGCTCGAAAAACGTCAAAAAATTAATACTATACAGGGTGTCCCAGAATTCGCGCCATTCCCGTGAATGACATGTTCCCTGTCCCGAACTGTGCCGTAATTCGCAAAAAGAATTGTCCAGGCTTTAACCGTGTGAGAACTGGAAGGCGATTAAGTTGACCAATAGAGAGGCTGCTTTTATATCCGAACGTTTCTATGTTCAAAGTTACCTATGCCAAGAACAAAAAATCGGGTAATACTAAAGTTGAATGAATTTTTTCCGAATCCCCCTCCGTCAACAAAAGGAAACAGAAGTGTGGTTATAAATTTAATCATTTTGACAATTGTTTGTCATAAACTGTCACGAAGTTTATCACTGACCTGAAGAGACGCTTCTGCGCCAAAGATGACTGATTAATGTACACAGAGACGTCAAGGTTTACTTTAAGGCAAGTAGCATGGGACAGAAGTTATTTCTGCTGCCATTCTAGTTAAATTGTGTTTAACTGGGCTGTACATGTCATAAGAGAAGCTGTTTCATTTCATCGTAGGCAAATAATACATTTATTACTATTCTACATAGAGTAGCTACCGAAGAGCAGGTATTAGAAGTCATTTTCTTAGAGCCCCGTGAATAATCTTCGGCACCCAGACCAACATGTGTTTCACCGATTGTTACATCGAGCAAGAGAAGATCTTTTCAACCTAGTCGGAAAGGCCGTGCTGGGGCTCCACGGAATGTACGTGTAGGTGCTGAAGAGCAAGTGTTAGGAAACATGGAAGCGGATCCTAGGAGAAGTGTCCTCTACGTAGCGCAAATTAGTGGATGTTCAAGATCGACCACTCATCGTATCCTTCAAGAGAGAAGACTGCATCCTTACCATTACACGAGAGTGCAGCATCTGCGACCAACCGACTACCCGCGACGAGTACATTTTGCTCAATGGTTACTGCGACAAAATGAACTAAATCCTGATTTTACACGGCGCATTCTTTTCACCGACGAATGTTCATTTTCCCGAGAAGGAATGTTTAATGCACACAATTGGCATTTCTGGGCACACGAAAATCCACATCTCACTAGGGTGAGAGCATATCAGGAGCGATTTACTATTAATCTATGGGCTGGAATCATTGGTACTACTGTGGTAAAAATTTTAATGCATCTGATAAAATTATCAGATTACCTGATCGCCTTAATGGGGATGCATATGCTAATTTTCTACGACTAGAGCTTCCGGCATTGTTGGAAGACGTTCCTTTGAATGTACGGCGGAATATGTGGTTTCAGCACGACGGCGCTCCTCCACATAATTCGATACTTGTACGACGAACATTGAAAAGAGTATCGTCATAGGTGGATTGGGCGTGGCAGTACTAATATCTGGCCTCCTAGATCTCTAGACCTTTCTGCTTTGGACTTTTTTTTGGAATCAAATTAAAAATTACGTATATAGAGAACCCCTAGATATGTTAGAAGAACTGGAAGAGAGACTGCACGAAGCCTACGCTACAGTTACTCCTGAGATGTTACATAATACACAACACAACATAATTCAACGAGCTAGAACTTGCATTGAAGTTAATGGTGGTCATTTTGAGCACATTGTTTAATAACGTTACAGTACAACGATTCCAGCCCATAGATTAATAGTATTGCTCTTGATATGCTCTCACGTTAGCGAAATGTGGATTTTCGTTTGCCCAGAAGTGAA